TCATTCTGCATCACCGTCATACTATCCATTCTCACAGCCGTGATAGATATTGATCTTTATTCCATTATCGTCCTCTCATTGAAGTAATCCCGCGCAGCATCTGCAGATGCACAAGCAGGCGCATTCCAAATCAGCAGGGGAAATCGTCGCAACCCTGCCAGTGGGCATGTAGATCAATCGCAAAGTCCATCAAAGCATAATGAAGAGCTTACTAGTATAAATTGCCCCCAACCACAAAGATGCGATGAGCTTCACTTGCCGAGACTCGTACACTCGTACTATAAATGATGAGCACGATCGATACCACCATGAGATTGGAACAGTTTGACTCATGCAGATAACAAACAAACAAACAACAGCAGATTGTACACAGGTCCCGTGACACTAAAAAATACACGTGATCAGAGTGCGACTAAATACTACTATATACCTATTCTACTGTAGGAAGGGCTAAGTTGCTTTAGAAACCAGGGTATGTCAAAAATACAGAACGAAGATTGACTAAAAGCTCGCGAAAAAGGATCTTCTCAACACCTGACAATGAAGCCATCCGGGCTTTCAAGTAGGTATAATAGCTTTCATTTTCTGGCGTGTGAAGCTCACGGGCTTGAAACCAGCCGGTCGCTGAGAATCTACTGACCACCCAGCGACAGAGTGTTCCTGCCAAGGCAATGACGTTCATGAGCCGCAATTCCCAGCCGGGGGAATCGAAGTTTACACGCCGACGAAATTGCTGGTGAACGATCATGTATTCGACCATGCCGGTGACGCTAGGGTGCGAGAATGGGGCGCAAAACCATTCGAGTTGCCCAGACGCTCCGATGCGCTGCAGTGAGAAGTCAAACTTGAACCAATGTTCGTGGATTCACACACTCACCTGAATAAAAGTGTCTGTGAAGTTCACGCTCGACACCAAAGAAGTCGCGTATGTTTTTCGCGTTTTTACAGCCGCATCCGTCGCATCCGTTAATAAGTCGAAGGACAATTTATATCCTCCAACTACAAACCCCTCAGCGTAGTCCCGAGACTTTGTGTGAAGCCTTTTGACGGAGGCCTTTAGCTGCGTAAGAACGGCACGTCCCTCCTGCCGCTGCTTCCACGCTGCGAGTTCCTCCCCTATGTCATCGGTGAGTAATGAAACGAATGTGAATCAAATACGTACTGTTTGTGACGTGTACAGCGGCCGCATCATCAAGCGCTGACTTGGCCCACTGGTCGATCATCTGCACGGACGGTAGGAGACACTGGTCAAACAGAGTTGTTGTCATATAGTCGGAAGCGTCTTTCTTCACTTGGTCAACTACTAACGACGATATTTGCAGGATTTTCATTTTGACTGGTCGCTGGGATCGCGGTGGTACGTAGGGAGGCGGCGGCGGCGGCCCGAACTCATAAGGGGATGGGTGTGGGACCCTCTTGTCCACGTCCCTAGTCTGACCCAACCTATTGAACGTACTAGCCTCGTTTTCGGGATCACTGGGACGGTGAACTTCGTCGTTAGTGGCATGGGCACCCAAACTCAAGAGAACCTGAGCCGCTTGAGCTTGAATTAATGCCTGAGTGTCTGAAGAGCCGTCATGGTAGTGAGGGGAACGGCTGATAGCCTGATGGGACCCGCCCCCTGTAGGGAACTGTAGCCCCGGCTGTAAGCTGCCACCCATGTATTCGCGTGCTAGGTAGGAGTTGAAGTTGTGAGGAGCTGAGTTGGGTGCAGGTGTTGCGGAGAACGGAAGCTGGTACTGACCACCACCTGGAGGCTCCTTCCAGCTGGAACCCTGACGAGGGTGCGGCACAACGGGTGCAGCTATTCCAGGAGCCGCCGGAGGCTGGTGCTGGCTCCCACCTGCGGCGGGCTCCTCCGAATAGGACAGCTGGAAGCTGTCGGAAGCCGCTGTGTCTGATACTGGGATATCAGACGCCGATGGCTGGCATAGGCTACCACCTGCGACTTGAAGATCCTGCAAATATAGATTATTATAGTCATAGGTAGCCGCGTCATTGCTCGCTGGTAAACTCCACCGTGACGGCGGCTGAGGCGGTTGTAAATGACTTGATGACTCGGCGTCACCGTCGCGATTCATTTCGAGAAGTGACGGTCACCGTCGAATTAGAGAAAGAAAGTGTGACGACGAACTCGAGTCTGGTTTTTGGTAACTGACTCATGCCAGCTAATATATTCCTATTGCCGACTGCTGCTTTACAGATACTCGTACAGATATGCTTGCACTTACCTCGAGGCCAACCCCTGAACAGTTCAATTCAGTTGATTTGGTGCGCATTAATTCTTAATTCCCGCCATGATTACTACAAATCATTTCGACTCACCCGAGCTAAGCTTGAGAGCAAACTTTAGTTATTCTGGACTGGGTAAAATTAAACTGCCGCGTACGCTCAGTGACTCATTAGGGTTCTTCACGTACGAAAGCGAAGGTCCGATTGTTCGAATAAATTTAAACTCAAAGTTTGCATTTTGAAATCTGACTAAATTCGACTCGGTCTAAATAGGTTTCAACTACAAATTTGAGATATAGCTCTGCAGTACTAATGTGACGTATTCGAAGTTCGAACGCAAGGTCAAAAAAGGTCGCAACCACTTTGGAATAAGGCCCTGTAGTACTAATGCACATTGACGTATTCGAAGTTCAAACGAATACGTCTCGGTCAAAACGGGGGATGTGTCATGACGGGGCTTTTGACAACCCCACCTGATCATCACGTTCCTCCGCAATTCGGAACCTTGCACCACGATTGCGGTGACCGAGTCTGCGGCGAGACGGTCTATCCACGAGAAGGTGAAGCAGATTCAGGAAGCACTGCTGTAATATGTCACAGGAGGTGGTGAACATTAACGTCCGTCTGACTTGATAGAGTACATTCCATACGTACTGCTAGATATCGTACAAGTTCTGCTTTTGATTACGTCGAGGGAGCAGATTCATTGATACAAGGGAAACGGCCACGGCGTGAGTCTGAGTCAGTATTGCGTCGCCCTTTCCCGGGGGCGGTCCTCATGCTGCTGGAATTGGAATTCACATGGGCCGCCTCATTCCAAGGACCATCTTGTATACGATTTGCGGCTTCATGTCCTATTGAGGTGCCTGGGCCCCTCATGTTCTGTATCAAGTTCTCCACGTTGTCAGCTGAAGGCAGGTGCTCCGAGTCCTTTCCAATTTGAAAACCGTTTATAACGCCTTGCTGGAATCTTCCATCCTCCCGGGCCTCCGGCTGCTGAACACGCTATGATCGAAAGCCACGTATTCACGGTATTTCCTCGAACGACACTACCTCAAGCGATTAGAATAGATTCGGAGAGCTAGCGAAACGAGGAAATTCAACACACGCTTCTGTTCCTGTGGATCGGTGGGACAGATGATCAAGGGATCTTTCAAGTTCTGAACTTCGTCATGTTTCGGCTCATTGGCAAGTCTAAGGTTGGCAATCCACTTTCGCTCGAAAGCATCCTAATTCAATCCCGAGTCAGACAGAGACGTCTCGTCGGGGCCGTATGCGGTTCCCACAGAACTTGCAGGAGAAGGAGGACGAATTACGGGAGAAGCATACGCAGGGTCGCGTGAATCTGTTGAGTGTATGGCAAGGGGCCATCGTGCATTACGCCATCTCGTGCTGCAACATCCATTCAAGGCAAAGCGTCAGTTACGCACTCGACACTTAATAAGTAGGATCGCAAATTACAAGAATTTGATAACACATTAGTACTACAAAAAGAGGACAAGAGCCATGCAGTGCCCCGCGTCATGATCTCTGCAACACATGTGAAGTCGAGAGGAGAAAATCCGTAGCAAGGAAAGAACTTCGTTAAACCAGAACGATGATGGTACAACGTTGTGCTGCCCGAATCCGTCACCACCTGTTGCGTAAGATTAGCACAGGCTTTACTGCATGTGAACAATGCGTACGTCAGTCATCGGACTCGGCGGAATTTGTCGAAGTTCCACGCATAGAGCCAAAACTGCCGCCAAAGTTGTCTTCGTCCGAACTTGTGGCACTAGCATCCGAATCCAGGAGTTGCACTGCTTGGAATTGTCATTTAGCAATGACATCACGGGCACATGTAAGTACTCACATGTCAAATGCTCAACATGATCGAGCTCTTTGTCAGCGGCAGTGAACGACTCCAACTCAAGCTTGTACGTGGCAACACTACAGCTCTCACGATCGTCGAGTTCACTGGCCGTACAATTAACCAGCGCCTCCATCGAGGTGTCGAGCGGTTCCGAAGCGGCATTGACGTATGTTTTAGCTTCACTTTCAAGAGTCAAACACATGAACTTCTTGTGTTGCACAATTGCGTCAATTTTCAAAGCTGCTGCCACAGCACGCGCGCGTCTCCATTCGACATTAGCTCCGATAGCGATCGTGGCTTGAGCACGGGCCTCGGGAGACAGGCTCTTCATTCTACGTGCCAGTCTAGTTTTGCCCTGGAATGACTGTTAGATAATATTCAATATTATTGTAGACATTAACCAACATACGCTTGAATTATCCAACACATTCGTGGAGCCATTGCATCCCAAGCACTCCTCACCGCAGAGGCGCTCTATGACGTTAGGATTAGTTCTCTTATAGGGCTCGGGTCTTGCTTTTACGCTCTTGACATAACGAGCCAGATCTCGAAGTATGGGAGGGGGGGTTATAGGACCGATGATTTCGTCATCTGACGAATCAGAGGGAATGTCAGATGAATCAGAGGGAATGTTAGATGAAGGCGGATGTTTGTGGTTCTTGCCCAGTGACGGATGGCGACTCGGGGTCCTAGAGAGAATTGGGATGTTATTTGAACCCTCCTCGCATTTCATCTGAATACGACCAGTGGCACGTCCTTGCCTGCTTGGGTGGTCAGGATTATGCCCACTGATAGGGCTGCCAGTGGGGAGGTAGGTAAGACAAGCGTGCATGTTCAGCCGTAGGTTGATGATCCAATAAAACAGCAGGAGGGGAGTGGCTGAGTTTCAAAGCAAACCCAAAAGCTAGCTACTTATAAATACTGATGGCAGTCGGCATTTTCACTTACCAGTATATGTAAAGTCCGACGTGACTCAACATTTGATAACCTTCAAAAAAGGGAGAAACTTCATCCGATTCCTGCTGCCGGTACTCCTAATAATGCCCGTTCAACGAGCCAGACTGGCACTTAGAACTGCAGTTTGGCCTTCAAAGCCTTCAATCTTCACGCCTAAGTTTGAAATTTGAGCAGGAGCACTACCAATCTAACTCTTCAGAAGTGCTTCCACCGAAATTCAGCTCCCACGGTAAGGCACCCCTAGCGGAATTACATTACATACCTAAAAATCTAGGCCTCGAAAGGGAACATCCATGGAAGGAAGAAGGGTTTCGCATCAGACTATAACCAAATGTGACGAAGCCGCTTTCAAACGTGTTGGAAACAAACTGTGTGTGTTCAACGCACCTGATTAGTGATTGTCGTATGCATCCAACATTTGAACTGTGAGTTTTTTAATTTGAAATATTGAACGCGACTGTCCTTGAAGCTCGCTGCTGAATGTCCAAGCTATAGTACTCCGGTAGCTCTACTTCAACATCTTGCTCAGGTTAGCCAGTGCCTGGTTCATGCGACTTTCAGACATTGCCGCCTGGGTCTTCAGGCTCTTTCTGTTTCTTTCAATGGTACGCTGCGGAGCTAAGGATTGCTCTTGGGAGAGGCCCGGGGCGACAGATAATCGCGGACTTAATAGGCACCGCGCGAGTTGCCACTTTTTCAAAAAGTCCAGCGTTCTTGCAACTGAGAAGAGACGACAGCGAGCGAGAGATGCAGCTTCGGCGAATTTAGTTTTTAGCCAGTCCGAGTTCGAGTCAGTCACAGTGAGCTCAACGCGAGTGAGTGATGTTTCTCTTAGAAACTGGACTACTTCAACTTGAACGTGAATACTGATTTTTGAGATCTATCAGCGGGGAATCTTACCGGTGACTCGGAGGGTCATAGCAAGTGGCCATCCAAGACCAATTGCCCCTTGCAAACCCCTAACAAGGCTGCCTAGAAACGCCTCCGGCCTTGCGTCCTCGCAGCACCCCTTCGGCTTGGACTCGGAAAAAGGACAACATGATGTTGATGTTTTGATGGACTTGGAAGGCCCTGCTTTCGGAAACGGATCCCATCATGATACCTTGAGTGTGTAATCTGTAGGATCTGTATTTGATGTTTGCTGATTATTTCAGAGGAGCCCACACTTCCTAGGAGACGCATTCCGAGGTCTTTTGATGATGTCGAGCATTCAGCCGAAGATCTCATTGACGCCAATAATCCTGATGTCCCATCACTCCCAACCCGCTCCAGAATTCAACGTGTCCTTTTGACGCTAAGAGACACTCTCCAGACTGCTTTCAACTCATTTGGGATTTGCCGCCTATACCCTCGCCGTCCTTCCTTCGAGCCAAACAGGTCCATCCCGTCCTCACTACTTGCGAGGTCGTGTCCGATAGTTGTTCAAGGCACTGGTTCCGAGGCGAATATCTTACCGCCGCCCTACCCCTTTTCTAATATGACCGTTTACCACCTTATGTCCTGGATGAATTCAGGCAGCCACCAGAAATCGGAAGGCGAGGTCCAACGCCTCGTCAATGATGTCCTACAGACGGACGATTTTGATATCAAGCATCTTGAGGGATTTTCAGTGAGGCGGAGCTTTCGAGAATTGGATAGGGACGAGGGCGGGGAGAAAATCACTTTCCCGGATGATTGGATCGAGACGGATGTCACCATTGATATCCCCACGAAGTCGATGGAGGAAGGACCTGAAAAATACACCATTCTCGGATTCCATTATCGTCCTCTCGTTGAAGTAATCCGCGCAGCATTTGCGGATGCCCAGGCAAGCGCATTCCACCTCTTTCCGTTCAAACGGATATGGAAGGATCCATTGGATGACCACCAGGAGCGAATTTTTGATGAGCTCTATGCCTCTGATGCCTGGCTAGAAGCCCAGGACAATATCCAGAAACTGCCAAAGGAGCCTAATTGTTCGTTAGAGCGCGTCATAGCGGGTCTCATGTTTTTTTCCGATGCCACTCACCTGGCAAACTTCGGGACTGCGAAGGCTTGGCCGCTGTACTTGTATTTCGGAAATCTGACGAAGTACGTACGATCATCGCCTCAATCGGGAGCATGCCACCTAGTGGGATTCTTACCTTCAGTGAGTCCTCCTGACCGCCAATTCTTGGTATCAATGCCAACTAACCTTATCAGCTTCCCGATAGCGTCAAAGACATACTGAGCAAATTGTCTGGCATATCAAAAACCGGCATGGCCTCACTTCATACCCATTGCCGCCGGGAATTGTTTCACGCCTGCTGGTCAATTTTACTCGATGAAGAATTTGTCCACGCATATCGCCACGGCATCGTGCTGAAATGTCCTGATGGTGTATCACGGAGAGTGTTTCCCAGAATATTCACGTATTCAGCTGACTATCCTGAGAAGTAAATTCATTCTTTACCTTGATATTGACATTCAGATCATTCATGCTTTTTCAGGGCTTTAATCGCGGCCATCAAAGATCTGGGCTCATGCGCGTGTCCCCGCTGTCTCACCCCGAAAAATAGGTTTGGTTTTCTTGGTTTACTGAAGGACATGAAAAGTCGGGTGACCAAGCTCCGGGTCTATGCTACGACAAAGGTTATCGAGGCGCGTGAGTTTATCTACAGGTGCGGAAACACTATAGATGGTTCAAAGGTCAAACAAACTCTTGGAGAGGGTTCTTGGGTACCCACGATGGTAAGTTCAAACGATTCCTCGAAATTTTGGATCAGCTGAGATCGGTTACTCACAGAATCAATTCGCCAACAAACTTGGATCGCTCGGCCTAGACCCATTCCGCATGCTTGTTGTCGACTTCATGCACGAATGCGAATTGGGCACCTGGAAGGCGTTATTTACGCACCTTATCAGGCTGCTTTATGCGCTTCCTGGGGGGAGTCAGCTAGTCGCGACCCTTGACGACAGGTATGCGAGGTTCACACATAGTGCTATTATCTGCTAACGAGTCATCGACTTTCAATCGCACCGTAGATTTCGTCAGGTCCCGACGTTTTGTAATGGCACGATTCGAAAGTTCGTTAACAACACCTCCGAGATGAAAAAATTGGCAGCGCGCGACTTCGAAGATATTTTACAGGTTTTTGGATCATTCATTTCTTCAATTCGGCTGGCTGAGGTGTTCAATGATTAGTGTTCTATTGCAGTCTTTGAAGAGCTGTTCCCCGGCACCCACAATTCAGCCGTGCAGTCTCTACTGTATCGATTTGCGCAGTGGCATGCGCTCGCGAAGCTCAGAATTCATTCTGATTCTACTGTGACTTTTCTCGAACAGACATTCAAGAAGCTCTCTCAGATGTTGCGGAAGTTTCAGCGTGATACCTGTGCCGCCTTCGAGACTACGGAGTTACCAAAAGAGAAAGCGGCTCGTCAACGGAGGTTTGGTCAGCGCTCTGAACCCAATGTAACTTCTCCGGAATCAAGCAGGGCGAGGACAAAGAAGTTCAATCTCGGCACATACAAATTTCATGCGATGGGAGACTACGTGAGCACCATCAGGCTCTTCGGGACGACGGATTCCTATACTACTCAAATGGTACGTACCAGTCGCATTTCCACTATCTACCTGACAACGGATTTGGCTAGGGAGAACTTGCGCACAGAGCTCTTAAAGTGTTTTATCCGCTGACGAGCAAAGCAGACTCCCCAGCGCAGTTGGCCAAGCACGAGCGCAGGCGCCGTGTCCTTCGACGGGTAGCAGAAGCAGGAGATATGCCCCCTCCTGATACTCATTCACCTGCCGATGCCTCTCCCTCGACGTCCTCTGGACAGCATCATCATATCGCAACTACTCAGAGTAGTCAAATCAACCTCTTCACATTTCTTCGAGAACACGATGGTGATCCGGCTGTTAAGGTAGAAGTGACTTCGCATCGTGAACACGCCTTACACGTTTCTCATAGTGGTTTTCAGAATTTCATACCAAAACTGAAGGATCACGTCCTTTTCAGACTTCAGAAGCTAGACATCAGCTATTGTGATCACACCTTCACAGACGAAGAACACAACACGGTAATCATTCCTAACAATACGATCTACTCTGTCCACACAATGCGGGTATATTACACTACCTATGACTTTAGGCGCGAGTACGACACCATCAACCCTGGCACTCATGCCGATATTATGGTGCTTTCGGGGGAGCTGATGCCTCGTCACCCATACTGGTATGCACGGGTACTTGGTATCTTTCATATGGAAACATGGCTCACAAATGGAGGTCAACCTATGAAGCAGCGCCTCGAGGTGCTTTGGGTCAGATGGCTGGTGCCGCTGCGGAACCATCGATCCGGCATGAAGTACGCTCGTCTCCCAAAGGTTGCATTTGTTGACGAATCAGACCCGGACGCATTTGGATTCCTCGATCCGTCACAAGTGATCCGTGGAGCTCACCTGATACCCGCATTTGCCTCGAAGCGAGGTGTAAGCTCCCTTCGCTACGGTAAATCATTGGCTCGTCCCGGGGGCGAGCTAGATGATTGGGAGGCACATTACGTGGGGATGTGAGTGCGAATATTACTTCCTGCTACGTCGGGTTAACTCTCGGCATTTGGGTCAGATTTGTTGATCGAGATATGTTTTTGCGATATACTCACCTTGGTGTTGGTCATCCAGCAATGCTCCGGAGGATAACAAGAGATTGTCTTGGTTCGGGGGTACCAGCTGACGCCATGGATATTGTAAACCATGATGCTGACCCTGAAGAGGTCAGCGACGGTGAGGGTATCAAAGAATCTGATGAAGAGGAGGACGAGGACGAGGAGGGCGATCACACATTAAGCGACGAGGAGCTGGAAGAGGGAGATGATGGAGATGGGGAGGACGAAGATGGGGAGGATGAGGATGGGGAGGTATTTGATGATCTTTCTTTTTAAATTCTATTCATTTCGGCCAGTCCCTCGAGGGGGGTTGGGGGCATCGGCAATTTGACTAGTTGATTATTTGCAGTCTACACGAATATATACTACTGGACCAGTTGCGAGAGTCTGGTGTGCGTAAACAAAACCAAGGGCCTCTAGCGTTCAGGACACTTCTGGAAAGCGACCGTTCAGGCCTTCATTTCCTCAATACTAGCTGCTCCGTTTTGCTTACTTCGCTGCTCCTCACCAAACTTGACCAAATCAAGGACCGTCTGCCACTCGGTGCCAGTCTTCTCCCTGCGGATGCGCTTCGCTGCTGGAGCAGGAGTCGGATATGTATTCTCCTTGTCAGATTTGTCACGTTGATCCGGCTTCCTCTTCCGACTCTGACGAGGGGTGGTACGAGAAGCCTGAGCTCGTATTACCTCAGGTTTGGCTTTCTGGTCGCTCAGATCAGTACAATAGAATAACATATAACTGCAGAAACTTTTAACTCACCATCCTTTCGGATTCCTTCTGTTCGTCATTCATTGCGATAGCCGCAGTTCTCATGGTATCCGAGTCTGAGCGGGTTGCAAAAGGGTCTGCCAAAGTTGAGCCCTGGGGCTGAGTGGTTACTATTGCGGCACGACTCGGAGGATTGCCTGTGTAGGAAGACATAGCTGCTTAGAAGCTCGGGTGACCGTATTGAGGTGAGCACTAGCTCTTCAAGTTGTAGTAGACTCGGTGCAGGGTAAACACGTCGTACCATATGAAAAAGTAATAGTGTCCGAGGTGTATGTGCATCATTGCATGCGCTGGCCCAATCGACTCGGAGCTTGATCAGACTAGTACTGGCACGGTGATTAGTTCTGGTTTGCCAGAAACGTCAGTCGAAAATTAAGTTCTAAGTTATAACTTACCTTTTCGGGCTCCAACGGTTTAGGCCTGAGAGTAGGTCACCGCGCCTTAGCGACATTACCACCAAATACCTGGCTGTGCGACTCGGAGCTCTCAATCATCGAGGCCGTCTGGCCCACCGTGACATTCTACATTTCAGTCGAGGTTCCCGATCCCATTTGTTTGGATTGAAGCCATCTGCGCTATGCACAACACTTTGTGGTTTGTTTGTTGTTCTAACACTGTAGTTGCCAATAAATTTGGGCATCTACGCTCATGTCATGGAATAGCCTGAGGCTCTGTTGCCTGCGCTATTCCCAAACCGGCGGTCGCTTTGATTTCCGCTTTCCTCACATAAACCATTATTAACACTATCCCTGTTTAGGTTGTGCCATTTTCAGCGTCTACCAATGCTAACATCGCCTCGAGAGCCTTACCATACTGCCTTTGCCGATACCACACAAAATGGGAGCAGGTTGATGATAAAAGCTCATCTCCTACCCTCATCTCCTACCCTCATCTCCATAGGTTCCAATTCGAAACTCATGTCCCAGGCGGTGGCGGATGTCCCCCAGCCTCCGGAATCCTCACAGTCACTGGCAGTGCCGACGTCCGAAAGTGCTCGACAGAAGCGCAAAATTGCTGCCCTCGAAGAAAAGTTGCAGGTACTGGAACAGGGACATGCGGTCAAAATAAGGTATGAGCGCAATTATACACGTCCACTTCAGGCTTCTCACCATCAGACACGATGATCGTCAGGGAGATAAACTACTACATGTCAACAGGACGAGCGATCAGACGCATAGTATCGTTATTTGATACTATCGAAGACATGATATGTGAGAATGATAGGAGGTGCGGCTTAAACGACGAGGACGACAATGTGACTCTCGAGTGAGTTTGTTTACCCGTACCAATGGTTCGCTGATGTGGTTCGTCGTTACAGCCAGGAGCGTTTGCAACGCGGTTACATTGCCCTTAATCACGCCCTCCCGTGGTTTCACTCACAGGCTTCAGATATGGAGAACGACGATTGTGTGCAAATGCTAAAGAAGGTGCGCTTTGCCAAGGGGACACCATTTGCCTTCTGCTAAACCATTGTTTAGCTTAGGCAAGGGGCCGATGCTGCTCGAGGGGATGATACCTCGAAACTCAAGAGCCTCATCGCTGATTGGGTCAATCGGGAATTTAAGCCTGATCCCCCAGTTGACCCCGAGGATAAACATTGTCGTGGTTTCGTTAACGATGGGTGCGGCAAATTACTCTGCCCGACCGAGCTAGACTGGAATAATCCAACGTGAGTGTCTCACTTGTGATCTTCGCGGCACTAACTTGAAGGACCCGTCAGTGTCAGAGCAGGAATTAGGGATCGTGCGGACGGCTATGTCGTGACGGAAATGTCCTGGCCCTTGTTCCTATATTCAAAATACTCGGCCGATCAGGACAATTTGGAGGACGGCCTCTTCAAAAGCACTCTTTTGCTTCAGGTTAGTCATACCTGAGTAGTTTCGCAAGATCTAACTTTTTAGCAGGCTTTCAAAGCCATATTCACGTCCCCCTCCTCTGCAAAGGAGGTTGGAGGTGACGGTGATGGTACTAATGTAATCGAAAACAACCGACGCGCTATGAAGGATCTCAATTCGGGCAGGAAAGTCAAGACACACGTTGCGCAAATTATCAAGATGCGCAAAGTGACACCCCGCTCTATTGCATATGTCTCTTGTCAAGTAGGTGGTAATTTTTCTATCTTCCTTGATGAGCACTAACAGTATGTAACAAGCTGCGATTTGCGCTGTCGTCTGTGACGTCATGGCGCTCAGTTGATGGCGACTTCGATTATATCCCTTTCTGGCAAAACATTGTCGACTTCTTCGAACGACCCCCTGGTCGTGTAGCGCAGCGAAAAGTTGACCAACTCTTGGCGTGGTGGACAAGGTGCATCCATTACGCATTTGATAGTTCTGGACTAATCTTCGTTTCTCAGGAAAGTATTCGGAACAAGCCGCCGTGCAGAACTTACTGACGGGGCAAAGGCCAAGATGTCGGTAAACGCGCTCGCAATGCAGAGAGCGCGACTGGATGATGCCTTATTCGATTCAGACTAGTTTACTTCTCGTTACCACTCTGCTATTCTAATGCCGCGATTCAAACATACATGTTTGGTGTGAACCAATGAGTCCTTGAGATTTTAGTGATTGCTATTGTAGTCAAGCATCATATCAATGTTACCATACCGCCACTACAAATAAACTTTCTTCATGGTGTAATAGACAATGAATGATTTTTCATGAGCTAGATCAGGGAAACCCAGTGTGAAAGCGGTGATATCCACACCTTTGACACATCATTCACATCGCAGGCAAGAAGTATAGACACGCGAGGTCATTAAATTCAGATCGATAGCGGTGACATACATATTTCTTACTTATTATTTGGCTCGAAGGGTAAAGTATATACGTGCGGGGTGACAAAATTTCCTACTCGTGATTCCGCTCAAAAAGCAAAAAGTATGCACTTGCGAGGCGACAAAACACAGCGCGAGAGCGATGATATCTGTATGTATCTGTCTTTATTTCGGTCACAAAAAAAAAGTAGAGACGCACGAGGTGATAAAATACAGCGCGAGAGCGGTGATATCTGTATGTATCTGTCTTTATTTCGGTCACAAAAAAAAAGTAGAGACGCACGAGGTGATAAAATACAGCACGAGAGCGGTGATATCTGTATGTATCTGTCTTTATTTCGGTCACAAAAAAAAATTAGAGACGCACGAGGTGATAAAATACAGCGCGAGAGCGGTGATATCTGTATGTATCTGTCTTTATTTCGATCACAGAAAAAAATTAGAGACGCACGAGGTGATAAAATACAGCGCGAAAGCAGTGATATATGTATTTCTTCCTCGTTGTTCCGCTTGCAGGATAGAACATATATACCTACGAGGTGACAGCAATTGCCAAGCATATGAAAATGTCAGTCAGCCCCATGACATATGGGGTATTCGGGATATGTTTATGGTCCACAGCCTTTCTATATTCATGTCTTGCGTTCGAGGGCATATCAATACATCCCTGATATTACCCATTGATATCATTATTGTTTGCATCGACAATGCAATAACTTGAAGTTTCCAAATCCCCACGCAAATAATTACTTAAGCAGGGCTTAATTGTACGCTTGTATTGCAAAATCAGAAATTCACCTGCGCTCGATAAAGTCAAACATGACCATGTGATACACGATCGCAGAATTATACAGATGCTCGTGATTATGTACTATATATCGTTATATATGACTATCTGAATTTTCCCTGAGTTCTCTGATGGAGGGGCAGCGTTGAACGACTTCGGGTTTTCCCGATCAAGTTCCCGCTGTCCGCACGATTAATGCCGAGCTTAAAGCTTAATAGTATTTAATGCTTCATCACCTTTCCTTTAGCTGAACTTCAAGTTGCAAGGTACCTCCTCTCTAAGTTATCCTTGCATGCCTAACCATCCTCGCTCAATTTATTTTTTGCAAGGGCTCGTCGGCTTGAAATTCCGAGTCGCGCAGAAGCCCCCTGACTTTGGATGGGGTTAAACTCTTACCACAAAGGGTGGCCAGTACAAGTTGAACTCTATGTGGCCTCGGGAGCCATGTCGTATTCGCTCCCGTTTGAGCCCGTGGCTTCAACTGTCAAGTTCAGTTCTCATTCAGAACGCAAGTACAAAGTAACGAAATCATTCCTGCTCGGCCGCCGCGGTTGACTGTGGAGAAGATAAAGAAGCTACATAAGCGAAGTCTCTTCTCCCTACAACTAGCTAGTGTCGGGTTCCCGCCGGGACTCGTGTGAAGTAACCGAGTCCCGGCATGCCATCAAGGTTGTCGAACGCTTCTCGGTAACAGTTTGGCAGCATGTATGCTCTCGCCTGGTAAGTTTTTTGAACATCATTTAGTGTTTTGCGCAGGAAGCTTATTCCAATCGTATCTGTTTACAACTTATGCCTATGACGGCGCTAGAGCAGCAATTGTAATTCCAAACTAACAGCATCCGGACCGGCAATGAACATGAGCGAGCGCAAGACTTCTGCTTCCCCTTGGTCCGTATTGATAGCTTCACAGGCCATGTATGTAAAAGCGAAGTTTTTACTCGTCCGTCTATTCCAGGAATAATTCTCTTTCAGACTCGCAGAGTGACAGCAGATAGTCACCAGTTACCAACAGGGAACCCCTTGACCTACTGATTGTTACGAGACGGTCCGAGGAATGCCTGCAAAGACCGAGCTTTGCCGCAATTTACAATCGCTCTAGCGCTCGCGCTGCAAGATGAAACCATGATTCGAATCGCCCTTCGGTTCCTAGTCAGATCAATTCGTTTAAAACCCTTGGCCTCGAAGCAAGTTGTAGCTTCCTTGATTCTTTCGTGGAGCAAGTTCCGAGCAACCTTGATTTTAAGGCGGGGCCGAATTCACGTCGACTAGAATCAAGGCGTATGTGATGTTACAAAAGCGGTCGACGTTGCGGTACGATGAACACGGAGCGCAATGCACATGTCAGGAGGCTGTGTACGACAGCAAGACGACAGGTACTAGCCATCTTTCTTTTCATACTCCGGTACATCCATGTGTTCTGCATGTTTCGTGGAACGTGACTGGAGTTCGTGTGCTTCGTACGAGCGTCTGTCAGGAAGAACTGATCCGTGTTGTCCAATGCAAGTGGGAATCATGTGGAGAATTTGCTAATGACGTTTTCGATATCCTCTACGTAACCCAAACCGTATCTCGACCGTATCTTGTATTTCTACATCGAGTGCATCGAAGCTGCTGCGGTCGTCGTCGCCATTATCGATCACCACATTGTCTTCGCCGTCGTTGTCGCTGAGGAAGAACGTGTGAGCGAATCAGCGGGCGATAACCAAACTTGGTGCAACTACAGGCCGAAAACTGAGTCTTGTGTGATCGCTACCACGCATCCAACGCCAACACCAGCTACCGTACGTGACCATAACTCTCTTATTCGCCAACTATCCACGATTTCCCTAGAACGCTGATTGACAGATACGGGCGCGATGGACAGGCCAGCTGGGCCACGCCAGCCAGACAAGCGTAATGAAGCATACGAGTCCATCTTCGGTCGGCCATCCGCTTCTCACCACCACCAGGCTGGACAATATCCTGGTCAGCCTGTTGCGCAACAGCCGCAATATGCACAGTCAATAAATGGCATGTCTGTGCATGGCGTCCCATACCACAACCAACCATACCCCGCGCACTACCAGCTTGACAGGAGGACATCACACTCCCAGCCTCAAAATTACTATCCAAATCACTTGCCACACCACCCTCAGCAGCACATGCAGTCGCCATACAGGCAGTCATATCCACATACAGCTACATCCCAGCAACAACTGCCTGCTCATCACCATGCACAGTACACCCGTCCACACACCCTGGCGCCCCCCGTGATCCATGGTCGGGCTAGATCTGTCGTTAGTTCACCCCATGCTGCTGGTATAATATCACCACTACCAGAGGACCCACTCGATGAGTCCCTCGAGGCTCTTACGAGAGCAGGCCTCACCCCTGCACAGGCTTATCAGGCTCAAGTTTACCGTAATAGTCCTAATCAACAACAGCTTAATGAGCAGGCCAATTCCTCAAGGGAACCCTTTTTGAATGGCAACCATCATCGTGGCTCTAACGACGTGCCCCGTCTGGGCGTCAATCTCGACCTCGAGGATACTCGCTTCAGCATCGATTTTGGCACTGACGATCATCAGGGCCCAGAAGAGTCCACGAGCGAATTGCCATGGGCCATTCCGAACACAAGTACAAATGCAAGAGAATATACACGTGGGTTCCACCCTCCCATATCTGGTCCTATTGCACAATGAGCTCATAATGTCCCCCTTCCATCAGCAATGGCTCCCGTCCCAAGGGTACAGCAATATCGACAAGCAAGCCCTCTTTCCATCGCATCTGATCAGAGTTATTCATCCGCCAGCTCACGACCACAACCCCTTCAGCTCGACACCACTGCCATATCCACTCGCACTTCCCTCATCAGTACTTCCCCTGCTTCATCCTCCCGTATCGACCACGCTGCTGCTTCCACCAGCCGTCGATCATCAGACTCCGTCCGTACGATGCCTGGTGCTGCCTTTCGTCGTGACCGCGCTCCACAAGACCGATCCATGTCCATGTCAGCCGCTTCGGGCAGCATCCGCACTATGATCGATCGCGGCTCTCGCGTTCCAAATCCATTTATGGGTGAGGGTCGCAACAGCCCCACCACCTCTGCACGACTACCCCGCCGAGCACCTATAGTATACCCGGCACTCCTCTCTCGCGTCGCGGAGGCATTCCGTGAACGTATCAACCTCCAGGATCGTCTTAAGGACGGTCTCACTTACAAGGATGCCTTCGATGGTCGTGAGGCGGTCGACAAGATCTCATATATAATCAAGACTACCGACCGCAATCTCGCACTACTTCTTGGTCGTGCCCTCGACGCACAAAAATTCTTCCATGATGTCACCTACGACCATCGGCTCAGGGATAGCGCTGCAGAGCTGTACCAATTCCGCACGAAACTAAGCCCATTCGTGAGCGGTGAGCTGCCAACAAACTTCGGGGAGAGGGACGATGATGGTGATTTGAAATCGGAGCGGCCATCGCCTCGCCCTCAAGATTCTGGATCGGGGCCTTTTGGACAGGGTTCGAACGACTCGCATGGCGATACACAGGAGAAGGACGCTTCACCTGTTGTTGAGATCCCTGAACCGCACGGGCCCCAAGGATCAGAGAGTGTCGATGAGATGCCTCTTCCCTCCGGCGTTTTTACGCTTCTTACGGACTGCTACTCGCCGACGTGTACGCGGGATCAGCTGTGTTATAGCATCGCATGCCCAAGGAGGCTTGAACAGCAGTCACGGCTGAACATGAAGCCACAGCCTGGGCTCAAGAAGCAGATATCGAGGGAGAGCCTGGGTGACTTTGTGGTGCGTGTGGTATAGGCATCCTTTTCTCCGGCGCTGATTACATTCCATCTGGGCAGGAACCTGGTACGTTATGGATACACTCCGTCCCGCAAGAGGTCGTCAACAGCGTCTCTGACGCCGAGAAAAGGCGCCAAGAAGCTATTAACGAAGTCATATACACGGAACGTGACTTTGTCCGCGATATGGAATACCTTCGTGATGTGCGTCTTCGTACTTCATACTATAGCTCGTGGATTAATGACCTGTACAGGTTTGGATAAATGGGCTCAAAGACAGTGACATCATCCCCGCTGAACGTCGTACGGACTTCATCACACAGGTCTTCTGGAATATCCACGAAATCATCGCAGTAAATACCCGCCTTCGAGACGCGCTCAACAAGCGACAAAAGTCGTATGCTGTCGTGGAGCGCATCGGGGACATCCTCCTCGAATCTGTGCCGCATTTCGCACCCTTTGTAAGCTACGGTGCACACCAGTTGTATGGCAAGTATGAGTTCGAAAAGGAAAAGAGTTCCAATCCGGCGTTTGCACAATTTGTGGAAGTGAGTCGACTTTGCCACGGTGGTCCTTTTGGTGGTTGATGCAGTCCTTGTAGACTACGGAAAGATTGCCCGAGTCGCGCAAGCTCGAGCTCAATGGATACTTGACGAAACCGACCACGCGATTAGCTCGATATCCGCTGCTTCTGGAGGCGGTATTAAAGCAAACACCTGACGATAACCCGGATAAGCAAACGCTTGCGCAGGTGGTCGTCATGGTCCGTGAGTTCCTAGGGAAGGTGAACGTAGAGACGGGCAAGACAGAGAACCGCTTCAACCTCCTACAACTTGACCAGCAGCTTGTGTACAGGCCAGGGGAGCAAGTGGTATGTGTCCACTTCGTCATCTTGATACCTTGAGATGTTTTACTGATGACGCGCGACAGGACCTGAAGCTGCAGGACCCTGGTCGTGAACTTGTGTACAAGGGTGCTCTGAATAAGAGGGGAGGTGGGCAGGACAGCGGAGACCTGCTTGTATACCTCTTTGACCACGCTCTACTGATGGTGAAGCAGAAGAGCAAACACGAGCAATTCAAGGTCTATCGACGAGTAAGTGCCTGAATCTAATACCCGATTCTTACACTAATCCGCACTACAGCCGATACCCCTCGAACTCCTCTTCGTGCACGTCACGGACGAATCCAATAACCCCCATCGTCCTGCCAATGCTCGCCAGGGGCATAAAACGCTCACGAAGAAGAACAGTTTCAACCGTGGCACACCGTACGCACCGGCGATTCCAATTAAAGTCGACGGCAAAAGTGGATTCGCTATCACATTTATACATCTGGGGCGCAAGTACTACCAAATGACGCTTTGGGCGAGCACATTTGTAAGTCACCGCAAGTGGGTCGAGACCATCACGAAGCAGCAGGAGATGCTCCGTGAGCGGAGCACAGTGTTTGAGATGGTCACATTGTGCGAGGGCTTTTTCCTTGGACAGAATAGGGTGAATTGCGCTGCGCCGTTTGGTGAGTGATTCTGCTGTTCCCTCCGCGGAGAAGAATGCTAATGAGATGTAGCGTATGGAAGGAGGATCGTGTATGGGACGGATGACGGAATATATCTGTCGGATTTGAATCAGCCAAACAGGGACCCGGTCAAAGTGCTGGCTTTGCTGGATGTTTCCCAAGTTGATGTACTAGAAGAGTACCAATTGCTCATAGTGCTTTCCGGTCAGTCTTCGTTATCTCCGTGTAGTAGTGTGTTATTTACAGGTTTACTTTAGAACGGCAAGTCATTACCTTCCCGCTAGATGCTCTCGACCCCATGGACCCGATGTCTGGCTTGAAGCGGGCGAAGAAGATATCGTCGCACACTACGTTCTTCAAGGCCGGCATTTGCCTAGGGAAAGTCCTCGTTTGTATTGTCAAATCGAGCCCGCTCTCTAGTACGATTAAGACATTGGAGCCGATCGACCAGAACATTCGTGGACGGAGTAAACCAACTTTCCGTAAGATTTTGCAAGGCGGGAATGATACACTGAAGGCGTTCCGAGTGAGTCATCACACATGCATGGTATTCACTGGCTCATTTCGCCGTAGGAATTTTACATTCCCGTGGAGTCGAGTTCGATTCACTTTTTGAAAACGAAGCTCTGCGTAGGGTGCACGAAAGGGTTCGAGATTGTCGACCTTGAGAGTCTCGATACACAGGGACTTCTCGATCCGGCCGACGCCTCCCTTGACTTTGTACGGAAAAGAGAAAATCTTCGGCCGATGGCTATTTACCGAGTTGACAATGAGTTTCTGTTATGTTATGACGGTAAGTGGACCTGACTATCTATTCCCTTCAAATGACTCATCTGTCCCTAGAATTCGCGTTCTATGTGAATAAGAACGGTTGGCGGTCCCGGCAAGATTTTATGGTGCACTGGGAAGGGTCGCCTACTGGCTTTGGTACGTTCAGGCCCCAGGTACATTGTACCGGCGACTAACATAGTCCAATCAGCTCTTCGTTTCCCATACGTCCTGGCGTTTGAACCTACGTTCGTGGAAATACGGCACGTGGAGACGGGTCTCATGTCGCAAGTCATTCAGGGGAACAATCTCCGTCTTTTATTTGCCGACATGCCAACGTCGGCGACGCATTCAGGCAATGCGCAGCAAAACCCATACTACGCGCAGCAAGGATATAGTCCATATCAGCAGTCGACGGCGTCACTTTATGGACAGTCGTCATTATATGGACAAGGATATGGTTCACCTGCGCATTCTCCACAGTCTCAGCACGCGCGAAACATACCATCTGGACGGGACGAGATCTTGATGGTCTCTGACGACCGTGTACTGACATTGCGGATGGCTGTGGGGACATCACATGTTGGTTGTGATACGGTGTCTTTGGCATCATCGCGATGACTGTAGGTATTTTTGTTTTGTGTATGCTGTGTTATATGAGTATCATCTGTTGTAGTATTCCCCCTCATCATGGCATAATATTTCTAGTTGACCAATGACCATCGGCGAGTGACGCCGAAGTAAGCTCCGATAATAGGTTTTTCAGGCACGTTATTACCAAATTTAGATGCCGTGGGACCGGGTATGCCGTTTATGGAAGGTGTATTCTATATTCTGGTCTGATTTTTTTTTTGAACCAATATATTCCGTGGGTCGTCGCCTTGCCGTTCGTTTTAGTTCTATTATTATTTCGATATCTCTCTCTCTTTCAAGTTCCAAGACCATCGTTGTCCCGTCACTCTTTTGACTTTTGTCGGCCAGGCCCATTCCGTCATGCAGCTCCAAGCCTTCGTCGCTCTTTTGTCCCTTCTCGGGGCCGTTAATGCCACTAATGAACGTCACGCTCGTCTTGGAAAGAGACAGAATGCTGGTGCCGTCGTTGGTTCCAGTTCCGCGTCTGGTGCTCCAACAACGAGTTTTGCTTCATCGGCTTCATCGACCTCGAATTCACCCGTTCCAACCACACCCGTTGGCACAACAATTCCTCCGCTGGCTAATATCACTTCGGGCATGGCCACCCCTTCTACCGTGCCTGTCTCTGCTACGTACTCTGCAGGCGCTACACCTCTGATTTCGGGTGCTCCGGTTTTGCCTACTCCATGTATGTTTTTCTCATAGGCCCGTTTTTTTTGTGCTTACAATATTGTACATAGTTGTCTTCCAAGCTGCAAGCTGGCCTACTCAGGACCAGATTGCACCTACTGGTGCGTCTTGTTAAAAATTTGCGATGTATTTCGAGGCGTAGTAATATCATTACGCAGATTCTGTGGAGGTCACCCAATGGATGGAAGAACTCAATGGTTTCAACATCCCCGACATCACTCCCACTGCAGATGGCACTTGCGTCGGTGACCCGGCTGCCGCCGCGCAAGCTTCTAGTCGTGGCTGGTGGACTTGTGGTGGTTATACCCGTGCCACAGATATCACTGCTTGTCCGAACAAGATGACATGGGGTGTCAGCTTTGACGACGGCCCAGGATTCTACAGTATGTATACTTTTCTGCCATTGTAAATTCAATAAAGCTTATATTTTTGAATAGCTCAGTGTGTTACTTTTGAAATAATTAACTGGAATTTTCTCATCGATTGATAGGGAGCTACTTAACTACTTGGCTTCGAAGAATTTGACTTCGACGTTCTTCGTTATCGGTTCTCGTATCGTCGAGCGTCCTCAGGTTCTTGTGGAGGAGTACATGGCTGGGCATGAAATCGCTGTTCACACCTGGTCGCATCGTGTACGTGTGATAAATTTATGTTTTTGCATTTCGGGCTAATTTTGCAATAGCCTCTTACTATGCTTACTACCGCACAAGTCGTCGCTGAGCTTGGCTGGGCACGTAAAGCTATCAAGGACGTCATCGGTGTCACTCCCACCTTGATGCGTCCCCCTTTCGGCGACATTGACGATCGTGTTCGTGCCATTTCCTTGGCAATGGGCATGGTTCCCGTTATTTGGACTAGCACTGGTACTGGCGCAACATTTGACACTAACGGTCAGCCATCTCACTTCTCTGCTTGAGTTTCGAATTTACATATCATTTTTCTCAACGGTAGACTGGAAGGTTCCTGGCGGTGTGGTCACAGGCCCTCAGTCCTTCGCCACTTTCGAGGCTATTCTAGGCAATGCAACTATGCTGAATACTGGGTAAGTGCAGTTCAGATTGTCCTCGCTGTACTCATTTTCTCCCAGGTTCGTTGTTCTGGAGCATGACTTATACGCTCAAACCGTCGATCTTGCGATTGGCTACACGCTGCCTGCTGCTATGAACTACACTCCCGCGCTTACTGTTCGTAGTTTCCCTGATGTGCGGACAATTATCTGACCCCCCGTTAGCTCGACTCGATTGGTCACTGCAATGGAATCCCAAGCACAAACCTGTACCGCGAGAGCAACCAAAACACGAGCTTCCCCTACGCAAACAGCACTAGTGGTGACTCGTCCGTCCCTAGCGGCTCAGGCGGGCAGGGTAGCACCACCCAGACTGCTGGTGCTCTATCAAATGTCATTCTGCCTATATCTATGGTCGTCGCTTCCTTATTTGCTGCTGGCGGCTCCCTCCTCATGTGACCTGACGGATGATATACCACTTACGCAAACTTGCTAACTAATCTAGACGATGATGGACGTACGGCAGCTGTATATATCTATTTCGCCCTTTGTGGACAAGTATGTTTTTGTGGATGCTGCTCTATCTACTCTGGTTTTTAAGTACCCCATTTTCCCTGTTGAATACGTTGTAATTCAGTGTGAAGCGTGGGACGGAGGGCTTGCAGAGAGTAATAATTGAGCTACTTCTGCGTCCATCCTGGTGTACCCTCTGAGAGGGACGTACTTGGGTCAAGTGCTGGCAGATAAACATAGTACGGTAATAGCCGATAAAGCTTGAAGGACAGTTAAGTTACGCGCTGTACTATTGATTACTACCAGCCATATCATGGCCTCACTCATCACCGCTGTTCGCTCAAGTATGCGCGCTGCTTTCTTATAAGCCAACGAGCGCTAATATACATATCACAATTGCAGAATTACTTCAAGCAATCAGATCCGTAAATCCCCCTGGACGATGGAAGATCCTTGTGGTGGACGAACACTCACAGAAGCTGCTAGGCTCGGTTCTCAAGCAGTTCGATATCCTCGAAGAGAATGTTACCTGTGAGTCGTTTCAGTTTGGATAACTCAATTAACACTGACATGCATATGGGTCAGTGATCGAGTCAATATCCAGTCACCGGGAACCCCAGCAGTTTGAGGCAGTGTACTTGCTCATGCCGACGACGCAGAATGTCAATCGCATCATCAAGGACTTTAGTGACGGCCGCCAGCAGTATCTCGGGGCCCATTTGTTCTTCGTTGATGGTACGCTTTCTCATCTGACTTCCGCGCCAGCCGCATTGGTTGAGGACGGGCGTGTGTTCTAGGGTTGTCGGAAACGTTGTTCGAGCACTTGACGACGTCCCCCGCTGAACCGTACCTCAAAGGACTGCAGGATCTGTTTGTTAACTTCTGGGGTGAGTTCTGCGTGAAGGCCACTCCCGACGAAGCTTGATGTTAATTAGGATGCCTCCATATACAGCTACCGAGGCGCAAACTTTCTCTCTTCAGGCACCAGGACTGTTCTTTAATACTTATAGCCCGCCACGAAACGAGGCTGCCTTTAAGTCAGCGCGATCGAAGCTCGAGGAGGAGCTGCGGTTTGTTAGCAAGACTGTACGCATTCAAATACAGGCGTTTGGAATTATGTCTGTGAACTCAACTGCCTGCAGATAGCAAATGTCTGCATCACTCTCAACGAATTCCCGTACGTTCGGTACTACATGCCATCACACCACAGTCCCCTTGGTCCCCTCAAACCCAACGACCAAACGCGTGCCCCTCCACCTCCTGAAGGCAGTAGTCGGTGGCGAACCAATCTAGCTCGTGGGGACGCCGCGCGCGCGTACGAGGTTGCTGACACGGACTTCGTTACGAAGTTGCTTGCGTTTATGATCCAGCAGAACCTGGATGAGTACAGACGGATTAACCCGGAGTTCCCTGTGAGCGCTCAACTCAGATAACCGTCGACTTTGAATGGCTTCTAAATTATTGATGATACTAGAAAGCTTCTGATCCTCCCCGACCCCGCGGTACGCTCATAATCACGGACCGATCTATGGATACCGTTGCACCTTTCATTCACGAGTTCACATATCAGGCTATGTGTAATGATCTGCTACAGATAGACGACGGCACGAAATACATGTCTGTCTGCACGCTGTGTTAGATCCAAAGCTTGCTGATAGCTCTACCCATAGGTACAAGTTCCAGTCATCTGTCGGATCTTACGAGGACAAAATCGCTACCCTTTCCGACGTTGACTCGGTATGGACTACTGTCCGCCACATGCACATGCGTGAAGCGATCGACAAACTCATGGCGGATTTTAACAAGTTCATGGAAGAGAATGCAGGGTTCAAAGGGGAGGGTGCTGCCAGTCTCAATGACATGAAGGATATGCTTGCAAACTTGCCTCAGTATCAAGAGCAGAGAGAAAAGGTTAGTGTATGCGTGCCAGCCATATCAATGATGCTAATCTTGATGACAATTCAAGTTCTCCTTGCATCTGAACATGGCGCAAGAGTGCATGAACCTATTTGAGAAGCAAAAACTGCCGCCGGTGGCCAATGTCGAGCAGGTAGCTATGATGCGCTCTCTCGATGGACGATGCTAATGCATATTCAGTGTTGTGCTACTGGACTCACCGCAGAGGGGAAGACGCCGAAGACTCTTGTCGAGGAAATGGTGCCTTTGTTGGATAGCCAGGAGGTCATGTTAGTATTCACATAACCCCTATGGGTTGCTGACCTGACAGTTTTGAATAGAAATGCCAACAAAGTGCGCATGGTCGCGCTCTACATCCAACACCGTGATGGTGTTCCAGACGAGGATCGCCGACGATTGTATCAACATGCACGGCTGAGCATGGCTGATCAGGACGCTGTTAATTCGTTGGTCCATCTCGGTGTTCGCATAACCAGAGTAAGGAGGTGGTAACTGTAATTCATCATGTCACTCATGGTTGCGCGTAGGGACCTTCGGATAAGGATACCAAAAAGAAGCTCAAGCAGCAGAAGACATCCAGTGAGGACGAGTACGAGCTCTCACGGTACCGACCACTGCTTCGTACAGTCATAGAAGTATATGCACTCTTGCATCCTACTGATCTGTGCTGAATTGTATCTCCCAGGAACACTCTGCCAACAAACTAGACCCCACGCTCTTCCCCTACGTTAAAGATTCCCCAACAGTTCTATCGCCGGCCGCAAGTCTAAAACAGACAACCCCCCAAACCACGTCCCTGCGCAGTGCAAAACCGAGCTGGCACAAGGCCGTTCGGCCGAATGTTCTCGCAGAGAGCAAGCAGCGCGTTATCGTGTTTGTGGTCGGTGGGATGACATACTCGGAGATTCGCGAAGCATACTCGTTGTCGACGTCGCTAAACAAGGATATTTATATTGGTATGCTGTTTGAACACCCGAGGTTATCGAAGGCTTATGCATCTGTAGGCTCGACGCACGCTATTACGCCCCGCAACTTCATTGATGATCTGAAAGTCATTGAACTTTCGGGGGTCGGCTCACGCACTGTGCCGAATGGTGTCGCATTGGCAGGAGCTCATCACTCATACCAAGAGTATTATGATGAGAAGTACTTCACTCCAGACCCTCCTGCACCTCAACGTCCCACACTCCCTGTGCCGAAGGAGTCGAAACACGCTGCTAGCAAGCTTGTGAAGACATCGTCATCATACTCAACGTCATCGGCGTCGCTGGTCGGCTCGGGCATGGTAGAAAAGGAAGAGAAGAAGAAAAAGAAGGGGCTTTTCCGTTTCTGATTCTTGTCATACCTCTCCTACTTAACCATTTTCACCGCTCGACGTGGACGATATTCAGCGACGCGGAAGTGTGTAGACTATAATAGGGTGAGTTAATGGACTTCTTGAATTATTTCGTTTCTGAGTCGTGGATAACCCTCGAATGTGAGATAAAAATGAAATACAATGCAGGCGGTATATTACATGCGGGTCTATGCAGAATACTCCAACTTGGCTGTGAATTGTTTGAGAAAATGCGCCGAACTACAAAGAGCTTGTACTCACTCTCATGCTTTTTAGCATCGCTGACCTTGCGTGCAGCTTTAGTAAGATCTTCTTGGACGATGTATTCTCTTCGCGGGAATAAGCAAAACAAGTGCTTGCTATGACAAACTAGAACTCACCGGTCGTCTCTGATGGCGAACATGCCTGCTTCTGTCACCACATTCCGCAGGTCGGCACCATTGAACGCATCCGTGAGCTACAAGCAGGGTGAGATGAGTACATGATGAGATCAATACGACTGACCTTCACAATTGCTTCATAATCAATATATCCGTTCTTGTTCACGGGCTGTGCATGAATCTTCAAAATCTCCAGTCGTGCCTGCTCGTTTGGTAAAGGAATTTCAATCTTCCGGTCTAGTCGACCAGGACGGAGGAGAGCGGGGTCAAGAGTGTCTGGCCGATTTGTTGCCATGATGAGCTTTGTCTGTCCTAGGGAGTCAAAGCCATCCATTTGGTTCAATAGCTGTGTGAAAATTAGCTTGATCCCACAAAGAAAGTGGAGAGCAAAACGCCAACCTCCATCAATGTTCTCTGGATCTCACGGTCCGCGCTTGTGCCCTCTGAGAATCGCCTTCCACCAATGGCATCGATTTCGTCCATGAATATCACGCAGGGCTCGTGGTCCCTTGCGTATCCGAACATTTCACGCACGACTCGTGCACTCTCACCGATGTACTTGTCGACGATAGCAGAGGATACTACTTTGAGGAAATTGGTTTGAAGGGTGGCTGCAACAGCACGGGCGAGGAGGGTTTTACCCGTTCCTGGGGGACCGTATAAGAGGACACCCTTTGGAGGTTTGATGCCGACCCGGAGGAAAAGTTCTGGGCTGAGCAGCGGTAGCTCGATAACCTGGAGAACATTAAGTATGAAACAGCAGGAAGAAATTATGACAGACATACCTCGCGCAGCTCTCGTACCTGCTCACCCAAGCCACCAATACCCGCAAACGATGCACCACCAGGATCTTCCAAGCTCATCTTGTAAACCATGGGATCTACTTCTCTTGGGAGGATACGCATGATTGTGAGGGTGGTCATGTCGAGAGACACTCGTGTGCCTGTCTTGAGTTTATCTGCTGGTAGGGCGGGGCGGTAAGAGACGACATATCGAGGCCCTGACGATGCCTTTACAATGACTATGCTGTGATTGAGCGCCTCAGTAAATGAAGAAAGCTAATGGACTGACATCGTTCGTCATCTAGTTGTTTCATGACCTCTCCAATAATCTGCCCAACGGACTGTACGGCTTTAATATCATCCTCGGTCTTCGCGTAGTCAGCCTCGAGATCTTTCAACGAAAACCGCACTGTATGGTAGCAACATTAGAATGCTTTGAATGCTTCGAATGAACAAACACTGACAGTTCTTGAGACTCTGGCTCGAGTTCTCGTGACTCTGCATTTTCTATAGCAGAGCTTCAATCAGCAGAAACGCAAGGCAGGCAGCTCACTTACATCCCGGTAGCTCTTGAGAGCATCCTGTCTTCGTTGGTCCATTGTGCCAGATGATGTTGTCGTTCCTTAAGATGGACGCGCGAAGGGACGCGTCAGTTAAAGACCTATTTGGAACTTTCACGATAATAATGGTTTATTAGCTACAAGTTTTCATCGGCCTGGTGGTCTAGTAGTATGATTCCTTGTTAGGGTTCACCCAAATTCGAGGAGGTCCCGGGTTCAATTCCCGGCCAGGCCCTTTATTTTTGTCATTCATTCTTTCAAAGCAGACAACCGTAAGGATAGTATTTCTTCTACGTCTATAGCTACATCTGAGCTAGCTCCAAGGTGGCTTATGATTCTCTATGGGCAAGTCACGACCGCAAGACTATCTACCTCCGAGTTGGCGTACGCTGGCAGTCACTCACCGTCAATGTTGTTTTGCAGCTGCAAAGTTAAAGTCATCCATGCAGCAGCCACCATCAATTTGAAGATTCTAATGAAGCCGGAGAGCCGCCTCTTTCCAAGCCGCCGGGAGTCCCATGTGTGTTGAACGCAAGTGATCAGCAATTATTCAAACATCCCGAGAATATCTGTGGCAGACGGTCTCTTCTCTCATCCAACGCAGAATAAGCGTTGCTGTCCCTTCGCCATGATCGTGATTGTAAAGGACAGCTGTCACCCTCTGCAACAAGTCTTCGCTTGCAGGGGTTATGACACCGACGACGATGACTACCCGGCATGCAGATATTGTATCAGTACTTAGTTGATCATGATTCAGTGGGAATTTTCATGAACACTGCTAACAGAATGTTACGCACTCGTACGTGGCCTCATGAGTTTCAGTGATTGGTCTATACTTCAGCCGTCCACGGACAACTTGGTGGAGTCACTTGGAGTGGCATAAGTAGTCGTACCAAAGTTAGCCTGAGAAGTGGTCACGAGTCTACTTTAACTTATACAGGCCAACGCGGTTTATGTAACTGAAACCTAAACATCACCATGCCACGCCGGAAACATCAATTCCTCGATGACGAGGATTCCGACTCTTCAGAAGGCTCAGAAGCTGACGTTAACCTAGACGACAATGATCCAGACGTTCGTGCTGAACGCGCCCTCTTTGAAAATTCGCACAAACGACGTCGGAAGAATGGTAAAGAAGCTGCAACTTACGGCGTATTTGGCAGCGACAGTGAGGATGAAGGCTACGGTGGCCTAGGCTCGAAACGCAAGAGAAGCGATTGGACGAAGGCTCCCGCGTTTGTCACGAAGGGACAAGTACATTTGGATGACGATATCGAGCAGGCTGAGTACACCGAAGATGAGGAAGATAAGGATGGACTCTCAGCACCTCCTTCGCCCCGGGTCCAAAGTCATGACTCTGAGGAGGACGAACCACCAGAGCAGCCGGCGTTTGGCGGCATTGGTTCAACTAGAGCTAAGCCAGAACCTCTACTGCAGAACTTTGCGAGAGGTGGTATCGGTTCTAGATCTAGTGCTCCATCTGAGCCTGCTATCGCCTCCCCCGCCCCCACCAAACCAGCATCTACATCCGAGTTGCCAACCACCTTTGGAGGTAGCAGTGTCTCTCGTGTCCAACGCTCTTTCCTCCGCAGTGGGTCCTCCTCTACGAGCAAACCATCCACTCCGTTACCTGCACATGAGCAAGCACACTTTAGCAAGATTGGGAGCACCCTTGGTGCTCAAATGCTTGCAAAAATGGGATGGCAGGCTGGTACGGGTCTCGGTGCGACCGGGGAGGGTATCGTCATCCCAATCGAGAGCAAGCTGCGCCCGAAGAAAATGGGTATTGCGTTCAAGGGTTACAGGGAGAAGACGGAGCAAAGCAAACTTGAGGCTAAAAGGAGGGGAGAGGTGGTCAGCGACGATGAGGAAGAGGTGCGGCCGGGACTGAAGAAGAAAGGCGATGCGAAGGAGAAAAGGAGCGATGCTTGGAAGAAGCCGAAGAAGGTGAAGACGAAAGTGGAGCACAAGACATACGAACAAATTGTTGCAGAGGCTGGACAGGAGCCTGCCGCGTCCGGTATTGGTCAAATTATAGATGCGACTGGCAGAACGGTGAATACTACTCATATTTTCCTGTCTCACCTGACTCAACAATTAATCCAGCCTCGTGAAGTTGCGTCACTTGCCGACATATCTTTATCATCGTGGACACCATCAACCGATCCCACTCGAATACCAGAGGTACGGCATAACCTGCGGCTTATTGCAGACGCATGCAAGAACGATCTTGACGGGCTTGCACGTGAAGCCAAGGCTCTCGAGGAACGTAAAAGATTCACCACTCAAGAAAACGTCCGGTTGCAAAAGAAAGTCACCGATGAGGCAGAACGTATGTCTGCGTCTGTTTTTCAATTCCATCATTACTCATGCGCTGTGTATGTAGTCATTGCACGACTACAGCAGGTAAACCTTGTCGTGAACGATATTGGCGCAAAGGCGAAGGAGCTAGCCTCTGTTTATGAGGCGACTTTGGATGATTTTTCGCCTTTATTTTCCACGCTACTGGTGGAGTACCCAACAGAATTTGACAGATATCGGTTAGACGAAATTGTTGTCGCAGCAATCGCGCCGATGGTCAGACGCGTCATTGCCCAATGGAATCCACTCCAAGATTCTTCAGGCTTGGTCACAACCTTCCGCACATGGAAGCAAGCGCTGAAAGTCAATTCCATCGACAAACCGCCAGACACTCAGATTGACATGTATGGCGCGCGTACTGTGGCACCCCCTCCTGCTATTGAAAAGCCCATGACTCCCTTCGAATCCCTTCTGTGGAATGTATGGCTACCCAAAGTCCGTACCTGCCTTAACAACGAGTGGTCGCCTGAGGACCCTACGCCAGCTGTGAAGTTGTATGAGGCATGGTCGACATTCCTCCCGCCCTTTGTGCGCGATAATATCCTTGACCAACTCATACTACCCAAAGTGAGCAAAGCCGTTGCAGACTGGAGCCCGAAGCGTAGTACGGTGTCCTTACACGCATTTGTATTCCCTTGGCTCCCATACCTCGATCTGCGTATTGACGGTGTTCTGGGTGATGCGCAAAGGAAGGTCAAGAGCCTTCTCAGGAGTTGGGTACCAGCAGACGGCGTGCCCAACGACCTTGGTGGATGGAGGGAGGTTTTCGACCAAAGCGAATGGGAGGCGATGCTCCTCAAATACGTTGTACCGAAATTGGGCTCGTTATTGCGCGACGAGTTCCGCGTCAACCCTCGCAACCAAGATATGGGACCGTTACAGCATGTTCTTGCGTGGTCCATGCTCTTTCGCGCAAGCGTATTTGTCCAACTGCTAGAAACTGAGTTTTTCCCGAAGTGGCTGGATGTACTGCACATTTGGCTTATACAGCCGAAGGTCAGCTTCGAGGAAGTTGCACAGTGGTATTCCTTTTGGAAGAGCAGTTTCCCGGAGAGCGTGTTGTCCATGCCCGGTGTTGCACGTGGATTCACTCGCGGGTTGCAACTTATGAACACAGCTATCGAGCTCGGCCCGGATGCGCCTACGATGCTGAAACGCCCAGATCTACGTGCAGAACAGGCGATTGCAAATGCGTCTATGAAGAAGCAAACTGTACCAAAAGTCGCTCCTTCGCGGATTCAAGAAATCACCTTCCGCTCGATTGTGGAAGAGTTTGCTGCATCCCACAATCTCTTGTTTATTCCTACGGGGCGTGCACACGAGAAGTCGAGGATGCCGTTGTTCCGCGTTTCGTCCAGCGTTGGAGGGAAAGGTGGCTTGCTTGTTTATGTGCAAGACGATGCGGTGTGGGCGCCTGATGGGGATGAGTATCGGGCAATTACCTTGGAGGATATGGTTCTTAGGACCAACAAGTAGGGACATTCAGCAGCAATACGTATTCAACGTACATAGGCTTTGGGTCTGATTGCGTTGTGATTGCGACGTGTCCCAAGACGCGACGCGACGGTCAGGTGACCAACCACCTTTCAGTGTTAATGATGCCGTAGTGGTCAATATTAATGTCAGTTTGACTGGACAACGTGAAACTTCAAAGGGGCGACAGGAGGCCGCATTGCAAGCGCATTAATATTGCAAGTTGGTCACTACCACTACACGTAAATTCTTCCTGGGACCTGCAAGACATTGGATATTGACGGTTCCCTCTGGCTGGCAGCTTGCGCATGACCACATTGGACACTCACCGGCGCTCACTGCTCGAAAAGTCTTTCAGGTTTCTCAGTTTGCTACCATGTCTCCCAAAGTACCAGCTGAAATTATCGATGTCGATGCTCTCCTGTCAGATGAGGAAGAAAAGGGTGACACGGTTCAGTTCATAGGGTACGGCCCGGGGGGGAGCTCGCAACACACAAACGCCACCGGTCGAATGGTCACTCCCAAGAATGAACCAGTCGCTTCTTCGTCCCGCTTGCCTCCGCCCCCACGAATCAATTTGCAATTGAAAGAGTAAGTTTGCCATCATGACTCCAAGTGAGTCGTCGGTGTTAATTAGGCATTCGTTGATTATCTCTCCCTTGCCAACATCGTGCAGCAGACCTACATTCACTTATGCCCGTCCGGGGCTCTCTGAAGTTGTTGAAGAAGTAAGATATTATTTTCGAGCGTTCATGCGGTCGAGCACTCATGTAAAACCACCTTTACCTCCAGGAAAAAAGGAAAAGAATCGCAATGGAACGCGTCGGAGAACCACCTTTGAAGAAGCGCGCAACAAGCTCTACCATCGCAACTGTAAACGCGCCCAGTAGTCGAAAGGAAAAACGCAAGCAGCCATCTGGGCAGAAGGAGTTCATAGATTTGTCGACTTGTAGTAGCGACGATGACATCCTTGTCAAGGTAAGACTTTGCTCGATGACGCTCCTGTATTTGTCTTATGCACTTGTACTCTCAGAAACCCAGACTCGGATTCGAAGATGACCACTTGTTTGCGAACCGCGTGCCAGATATCTATGCGAATGATGAGAACACTTTGCAAATGGACTGCAGTAATGATACACATGACCCAAACGATTTCCTACCTCGCACGAGTGTACCGCCGTCCCTGTCCCAACCACTGACATCCGAAGATGCTGAATATGAATATGACTCCGAGGAGGAGTACGCGAATTATATGGCTTCTCTCGACATTTCGGATGAATCTAATGTGAGTGTCTCTTCAATCGATACTCATGTATTCAAATTTCGTTTCCAGTGGAAACCAGTGCCTGCAAGCAACAAGGCCGAAGATCTTTCTCCGAATGTAGAGCTCGAGGTCGAGCCGCCACCTCCACGGCCTAGAGAACTGCGGCCGTTGCGTCCAAAGTACTTCGCCGTACACTATCCAGTAACTCCCTTAGATCCAATTTATAAGGAGCAATACTTTTGGGGAAAAGTGCGTTGTTGTTTATTTTTGTGTTGGCGAATAACGAAATTTTTCTCAGTTAAATTCAGTGCCAGGTTTCCGACCGCGCGCACTCAAGCCACCTGCTCGACTTCGCTTCGCCAGGCACTTACCGGGAACCACGCGCCCTCTCAAACTGTTTCAAGATCTTGCGTACGATAAGTTGGGTGCTGTTCAATCGCATCGTCAGGTCGCATCAGGGTGTGAGTGATACCTTTACCTAAGTTTTGACATCATTCCTGACGAGTTTCTCAGCCATAAATAAGATTGTTCAAGTTCCAGGAGCCATCGTAGCATGTGCGGCAGCATCGGGTGGGCATCCCGACTATTCCGATGAAGATCGAGAAGGTGCGCGCGTCGTGTTCTCTTATTATTGGAGGTACTTAGTTCCCGCAGCGCCTCTGCCATCAGACAACAATGCCGGGACAATGGTAGTGTTCCACCGTGGCCGATGTAAGTCTGTCAAGCAAGTAGGAAGGCACTGCTTCAATTCCACTTTCAGGTCACGTTGTCGATGCTCACTGCATCAATCACGGAGGTAATTCTCTTCCCCACGAGTGACGCTCTTGACTGAACCGTGTTGCAGCTTCTTCAAAGAAATACTACACGATAAATGATGTATTATTCAATCCATTGAAGTATGGTTGGGCCCTGTGTTTATTATGCTTGATGAGTTGATAATCACTGTAGCCCCGGACAGTTTATATCGACTGGGAATGATTGCCAAGTGCAGCTTTGGCAACTGCCTAAGGTTGATGAAACAGAAACGAGCGAATCCATCGCCAGTGCCCCCTGGATGATGAATTCAAGTGAGTTAATCATTGCTACCTTGTGCTAACTGACGTCCTCTTTTATAGTGAGGCTCGGAGATGTTGCCCAAGACTTGGTGCCTTCGTCCGACGGTGCAAATATTGCCGTGTCTTGTCGAGATGGGTTTGTATCTCGTCCGAATTATCAGTGTGGTTGGAGTTGACAAATTTGCTCAGCACCGTTTCTGTCTTCAAGACGATGGATTTATTCGCTTCACCAACATGGCCCAGAACTACGCCTCCGCCTGATCCGGTGACGAAACTTCACGTTGCCCCTCCTAATGCCGACCACGCCGCGGGTACTGTACTGTGGGGTTCTGGTCTGACCGAACGTCTTGTGTACACATCTTCAGAACCTCACGACTCTGATGGTGAGGGCAAGGACTTGGGTTTCCACCGTGCACATGATATATCACGAGGTCGAGTGCTATTTCCTTTTAGTGCTAAAGAGGCAGGTGATGCAGGAGCCGTCAGTCCGGATGGTAAGTGAGTATCTTCACCTGTGACTCAACCGGTATAATCTTGTGCAGGGAGCACTTATGTGTTGATCACATGCGGTGAGAATAATAAGCATCCTATAAGGTTGTACGACGTTGCACGCAAGTCGGGGAATGTTGTCGCCGAAACGATACTCGAGCCATCTGTCTCAAAGATCGCTTCATTTGAAGCCACAACAGCCACTTTCTCTTCCGAAGGTCGCCTCCTTGCTGTGGCACGCTCAGATAATGCCGTGCATCTGTATGACATTCGCGCGCTAACCAAAGGTCCCCTCGCAATGTTCAAACACGAGGAGTTGGATGCAGTAGGTTCAGCCGGGTATGGTGCTGTTCATGCATGCTGGGTCGAGGGGCGGGATCGGCGACGAGTTGGCATCGTCAGCGGAGGCAACGACGGATGCGTGCGAGTGTGGGATCCGATGATTGCATTGTCGGACAAGTCCCAAGGTAAAGTGCTAGCGCGCACGGAGTTTGACGTTGCATACTTTGCCATGGGTGATATGTGGACGGGAGAGAAACCACTCGTTCTGTGAGCATCATCATATCACTGCTTTTTTTTGTAAGCACTAATCGGATTATAGTGGCCATTGTGGTGGAGGCCTTTATATTTATGACCACTTGGATGGTGACGGCCTACCGATCGAGATGCCCAAACATTGATATTCAGTAGCAAAGCACCCTGGTCTGCCGCGTTAGTAAATACCGACCGGACGTTTATGCTTAAATCATTGGATTTCAATTAGTTGGGAGATTGTTTAATTTTGCTACGGTACCACTGGTCGATTAGATAGGTTCAAGTTTGACTGGGGTTATATAACCATCATATGTGCCACCCCATCTGTTGCTCGCTGAAGTTTATACATTCATGCATTGAGTTTGCCCGTCTGTAGTGATTCTCGTTTATTTCGATTTTCATGATCACGGTAAGCAATTTCTGATATATATCAGGCTCTACCGTTATTATACCCGAGTGACGAATCCTCAGCAAACATTTTAAGTTAGCACTTGGCACGTTTTATATCTCTATTCATACCTCACCGAGAACACGCTGTTAGCTCGTATTTTTCACGGTCGAAGGACGCAGGGCCCCCATTAGTTTGCCAGGTTTGATACAACGAGAGTTGGTGTTCGGAAATTTGTGATACCGTACCGCGACCCGAACGTTGGACGGCGAAAGGTAAGACTACTCCTACATTTGATGTCGTCAGAACTTGACTGACGATTCTGTCCCGCACGGCGCAGGCCCTGTTGTGAAACTATCATCGTCATAAACATCTTCATCATGAAAATGTTATTGTCTCCCCAAGTCGATGTGCACATTCTTCGCTCGCACAAGAATAATCTGGCCCATATATCTGGCCTTCCACCGGAGATTCTTGCGGCTGTCTTCAGAAACTTCATAGAAGAGCAGGATCACCCGAAAAATGGCACCCCTACTTGTGTGATAGTCACGCACGTCTGCAGGCACTGGCGCCAAGTCGCCCTCGAGTGCTCGACTCTTTGGAGATATATCATTTATACCCCTGCTCGCTGGCTAGGCATCATGCTTGAGAGATCAAAGAACGCTGCTTTGGTCGTCGAGTACGATGTGACGGTCTCGCTACGAGATTGTTTGGAACAAATCCTTTCACAGCTACCTCGAATCAAAGTCCTCCGACTTAGCTCATTAAGTTCACTGGACATTGATCGCACTATCCACTTGTTATCATCGCAACCCGCATCACTACTTGAAATATTCGAATTCTCAGTCGTGATGTTCGGCCTTCCTACAACAAAGCCCATTTCAAACACTACATTCCAAGGACAAGCACCCCGACTTCGGAGTGTTGTGCTTACGAGTTGTAACTTCAGCTGGACATCATGTATTTTCAACGGGCTTCGAACTCTTTGTGTCAGAGGAACAGGAACCACCTCCTATCCTACCCTACCGCAGCTCCTGTCAGCTCTAAGACGTATGCCTGCATTGGAGCAGCTTACGCTTGAGCAGCTGTCTATAATTTCCGAGGAAACGAAACTTCTCGACAAAGTTCCACTCACTCGGTTGAAAAGTGTGGCACTGGGTGCTGCCTCGATCCGAACTGCCACGTCTCTCTTCGCGCAATTAGCCCTTCCCGTCGACGCCAAGATCGCTCTACAACTCACACAAGTTCAAGGCGTTCAAGACTTCTCTGATCTGTTTTCGGCCATGAACAGGCATCCCGTTGGATCTGGTTCCGTCGTTCAGTCCCTGCGCGCCATCCACCTTTCGCACCGCTCTTTTTGTGTCCAGTTTAGCACGTCGATGGCGATTAACACTGTATATTCCTGGAATCCTTGTGACGATGACATACGGTTATCGATTCAATTCACATTTACATCTGCTGAAGTCGACCCAAGCATCATTTTTGATATATGCCAAACCGTCACGCGGGACAGAATTCAAAAATTCTCTTTTGGGTCAGAGTTTGACCTTCCAGGGAGAGATTTCTGGCGCGCTGGGTCCTCCTTCCTCATGGACCTCAAAATTATCCATGTGAACAGCAGCTTCATCGGAGGCTTAATCGCTGCACTCGAGATTATCAAAGGCAAAAAGAACTCAGATATAGCATATCCGTCCCTCCGTGTTCTAGAATTCGAGGCGGTCGATTTCGAGGAGGATGAACCTGAAGAGTTTCGGGATGTCATAAAAATACGAGCCAAACATGGTGTTCCCATACACACCCTCCGACTCGCAGAATGCAAGAATTTAAGGGCTGATCAGGTGCAAGGTTTCAGGGAAGTGGTTGCGACTGTTGATTGGGATGAATATGACGACTCAGAAGAGCCCTTGGGAGATACCAAGAGTGACTTCAGTAGTTCTACCGATGATGCAGAGGCTGTTGATTGATAGACGTTTTAGAGCACGAACTAGGTGTTCACTTATCATTCAGGAAGCTGATTGTCGTTCGGGGGAAAGAAGATGAGATACGACTCGGACGAGCCTCGTTGAACAAACCTTGTACATAACACTTTAACGTGGTGGTCACTTGCGCATCTTTTAAGACCAGAAAGTCCATGGTAAATATTGTTGAATGTACTAGCAGCCAACCCATCTGCGTCAAAAATCGGTCAGATATAAGTATCAGAACATAAACGACCCCGAGTTTGAAATGTCGTGGACAAGCATATTGATGAAGATGAGTCTGACTATCGTCAGGTGGTGCCGTTCTGCCACCAAGAGCGAAAATTGAGAGACGAAGGCTAGAGGCACGCACACCTAGGAGCACACACAGTCAACGCCTGCCAATTGAGCATCGACCTGACACAATGTATTGAAGAGTGAGTGCGTGCGTCGAAGTAGTCGAGGAAGTAGAGCTCGATGGCCAAGACAAAGATGCATGTCAGCTGACTTCTGCCAGTGCAGGTGAGAATTTTTGCATAACTATGCTCAAAGAGTCAACAAAGAGTCAAACATTGTTTCGCACCGGCTTCGCCGCGGCCTCTCTCTGGCAACGTAACTTCGACATATTTCTCCACCAGCCCGAGTCCTCGTCACCTCCCGCAACTGTAATGCGCACCCCTCCACCGTCATCGTACCCAATGTATGATGCGCCCGGCACTGGTTGTCCAATCCAGCACAATGACCCACCTGTTGCAAAATCCTCGGGGGGATGTCCCATTGATCACTCTTCATTTGATACATTGAATCCCACCAATCAGATGCCCAACCTCCCTCAGATTCCCGCAAGCCGTACCGTTACCGACTGAGCGTATCATGTCATCCATACCGCGTGTGGTGGATAGTGAAACGGGAACTGACACCCGCTGAATGTTGGAGTACCCATTTCCTCAGCAGTTCCATAATGCACTGGTTTGGATACGCCCACTGAGCATGTTGAGATGGTGGTAGAGATACACAATTTTTTGAATGAGAGAGCTTGGGGAGAAGTGTTGAAGCGGGAGAAGGGGCTCGCACAGTGCGTTGTATGCTTGTTATGCCGATTATAATTTTTTACCTCTCAGGGAGGGTGACGAGGGACCGTATCTTGCTCGCTTTATGGGACGTCCGGGCGAGATGTCGCCAAAGGCAAGGTTCTGGATGTTGGCTGGCTGGTTACTTCTTTCTAGATTCAAGCAGGTTTGTCCTTGCTGTGCATTTATTAGATGCTGACATCAATATCACAGCACTGAGCCTCCATTCGATCGCCATGATTGGATAGTATGGCATCCGCGCGACGGAACAGAGATTCGCTATGTCATTGACTACCCCCAACGGGGGCCCCGGTTTTGCATTGGATGTCCGGCCTGCTCTTGACTCGTTTGAAATGTCCAACAGCGTGTCGCAGTGTGCATGGTCGACATATGGGAGGAGCTTCGCGAGAAAGGGCGGAGGGGAAGTGAACACGGGGGTAAGCCATAGGCAAGGTCGTAGGAGGTTATGGAGCACGCGCGCTCTACTTTCCCAATTCTGGATCGGTCGTTCGACTGTCAATAATCATCTTGTTTTGAGTAAGCTAATGAACACCTCTCGAGGTATTATACGCTAATGTGATAGATTCGCTGTCGGAAAGATTATTTTCAGCTCCTAATATGAATCAAAGGCACGGAAGATGTGGGTGCCCTTTCTGATGAGCTAGGTGGCTATTTGATACGATGATGTCGTCCTTCTTGTCTCACAGACTAGGAGCTAGAATTCAAATAAAGACGCACCTGCAGTTACATCCAGTGATAAACGGTAACAACCAACTTGTTCTCTGATAAAACAGTTTGACGCTGGGAGCAATCAAGAACGTCGTAGGTTGGTCTGGGCGGTTCCTCGTGTGGAAGGTGCTACACGAGGCACGTGGGTTGATCGACCATTGGGCGTGACCTTTGGAAGGTATTACTCAATTGCCGCATGAGCCATATTGACGCTTCAACCCGAGGGAGTATGCAATCCCGATCGGTCTCGATCAAAATATAAGCAAGCCAAAGTGCCCGCGGAGGCTGGTCTTGCTATATTGTTGAAGGTGACGTTTGTTGGACTGTCTACTATCCTGTCCATTACAGCTGACAGACTCAGGCCAGCATCGATATTGTGCACTGAAAAAATTCTACTGCTGAGGATATTCTTGATGGTTACTCCGAGGTGTTGTTTGGATCTATGATGTCGTGTGGAAGCAATTCCACTGCAACTGTGACCACAGGTGAGACATCCACAAGTGAGACATCCGCTGACTTTGAAATCGAAGAGAACGAGAGTTCCGCTCAGCGGCACATCGCAGATCTATTGAGGGCTGAATAGAGTGCTTGGAGCGGAACTTTCAATCCACTCTCCGCCAGTCCACATTTTTTTTTCATTTCCACATCAAATGTTGGGCCATAAAAGCCCGACACTGCCGGGTCTCTCGCCCACCAAAAGCATCTCTATCATCATCAACATTGAACACACACCCATCATTCTTCTAAATTATGTCCTCAAAGAGGAATCTGTCCAGCACCCAGAAAATTCACCGTCGCATCCCAACCCCACACACCTCTAAATCTATTACTCAGACATCTGGGCTTGATGTCTCGCACATCACCGATGTTTCAACCAATCCTCCCGACGAATTTTCTCATCAATCTGCTGTCTCTCTGACGACTCGTAACTCTTCTTTTTCGAAGCGCTCGTCAACCATGCGCTCGAAAACCAAAAAGCAACGCTCTCAGAAGTCTGCTGTTAACCCGCAAACGGTTGACCTCGACACGTCGGACTCAAAGGACCATTGGCTTGACCTTGCTTTCTTGGACCGCCATTGTACGCAGAAAGACTACTTCTGCAATTACTGGCGCTACATGGTAGCTGCCGAGCAAAACACTCGCCTCGATTACTTCCAGAATGCGATAGATGCGCACGAGCGCGAATTGTGGATAGGATTTTCGGATGATTATGTGCCATCCTGGGCGAAATGCACGGAAGCCCTAAATGGTTGGGAACGTAGCGAACGCAAGTGGGAGCAGGGTGGTTGGACTGAATGGCGGCCAGGTCCTATGATGTTGAAAGTGCCGAACAACAATTGGATCGGCGGCTTTCGCGAAGTTCTGGATGATGACAGCTATGCGAGCTCAAGGAAGTGGGTGGATGATGAAATTCATGTTCCCGCCGAGGACTGTGAAGATTACGGGGCTATTGACGGTTCATCCCCGGAGCAAGTTTATAAGCCACATCGACCAGTCGAGAGGACTGTCGAACCTCGCCCCTTCATCCCTCATGTCACTTCGACAAGTTTTATTCTGGATATCCCACCAGCCAATCAAGGGGCTTCTACTCTCCCATCCATTCCCTCTTCCCAGATACCTCGCGCTTCACCACATCGCCCAGTAAGTAGTGTCGTGGATACAAGTTTTCTCATCTCTCACAATCTCTCACAGCCTTCTGTTTCAAAACATGACTCGCGCACTGCGAAGGCATCCAGAGTGTCGTATGCTCCTCTGTTGATACCTGACCGCACTAGCCAGTCCTCTCGTCGTTCTCGGCGCATCTTCACGCCTGCCCCTACCCGAGTTTCAAGCGAGCACGCCGACAATGAAGTCATTCAGAAAAATCAGGAAATTGATAGAATGTTCAGATTTCTCAAGGTGAGGAGGTCTTCTTGTACATTGCGGAATATCGAGCATTGACATGTTTCTACTATTTAGATGAACACGGAGCAAAAAGTAGCCGAGATTCAACGGTTGGCCAGGTCGATGAGGCGAGGAATGGGAAATGCCAAATCAGGAGTTCATGGATGAGATCGCGAGGGCTGCAGTGGATTTGTATGATTTACACGCTGGTCAGCGAAAGTCCATGTTGTAACCCTTTTCGTGTACTGTGGGCGGAGTTCTGCAGAACAACATCGTCGGCTTTCGTTCAGCAATCGTTGCCGCAGAATTTGTTTATCCAAATCAATAAGTTAGTGCTTCGACCCGACACCCCCTATGAGTGAACTGAGCAGTCCCTAGGTGTCGGAGTGACAACACGCTGTGAAATTAGATGAACAATGATATCAAATATTTTGAGCGGCCTCGTCTTGGGCAACTACCGCGCTTTGGTCAGGTTCACATGGTGGGGAATTCAGCTGTAGTGGTCGTACGCTTGCTTATATACCGGTTGATTTTCCAAGCACGTGACGAACGCGTCGCGATCGAGTTTGTTTATCGCGCGCGCACAAACCTTAATATTCCATTGATATTCCAGGGTATAAATACAGCGTGCCCTCGCATATCAATCTCAGTTCAGTCATTCTCCTCTTCTACGCGTACCAGCATATTCTTACGATCTTCATCCTTTTCAATCAGCCATTATGATCTCTTCCATTACGACTATTACTGTCCGCGTCGCCGTCACTGGCTTTCTTACGGTCTTTTGCTTCAAACGGACCGTCGTCGACAATACCGCTCAGGTCCTGTCCGAAGCAGAGAAGGTCTCCGCTGGCCTCATTGCATACTCTATCTGCATGTCGACCTTCACGCTTGTTCTCGCCGCCGACGCAGCTGCACAGAGGATTCTCAGCAAGGACGCCAAGGACATGCCCGCCGCTCCAAAGGACGGCGACGCCGACTTTAATCCTGGATCCACTAATGACAACACCGCCTCCGCTACGCCTAATACTGTCGAACTACATCATTCGCAGCCATCTTCATGTCCATCTTCGCCTCCATCTCCTTCGCGTTTAATCGAATCACAGCCTGAGCCATCTCCAGCTCCATCATCATTGCGTTTAATCGAACCACAGCCACCTCTGTCTCCATCATTGCGTTTAATCGAATCGCCTGAGCCATCCCCGTCTCCATCTCCATCGCGTTTAATCGAATCACACCGTACTTGTACGCCTTGCATCAATCTTACTTCGCCGAACCTCTACTGCAAACGTCTGTCTACTGATTCCAACATCACACTCCTACCCTGCGACAACGACTTCATTACCAATGACTGTAAGTCGTTTGATGACCAAAACTCGGAGGTAAGACGCAGCGTAGTCTCAATTTCCACATTACCTGATGTTTGAGTTTCTAGGACAATCGCTCTGACCCGCCACGCCCATCCAAGCTTCGACCACTCATTCTAGTCATCAACCGCAACACGACAACTACTATTCCGTATCCTCCGCTCCCTGAACTCGCATATCCTATGGGCGCATCGACCCGACGTATGCAGGCGCGCCCTCTCTCCAACAGTCGACCTCAGGCTAGCGATCCTGGCGTCCCCCTTCCTGGATGCCCCATAGACGCCTTTACTCGAAGCATGGAGCCACTCGCTCTCTCCGATCGCCCGTCTTCCACCTCAAAGCTGAAGCCTCTATTTCTAGTTACGAAGCACGCAGCTGGTCGGCTCAAGCCTCTCGCTACTAAGCTTCGACCACTCATTCTGGTCACCAACCGCAACACAACACCTACCCAACGTATGCAGGCGCTCTCTCTCTCCGATCGCCCGCCTTCCACCTCAAGGCTGAAGCCTTTAATTCTGGTTACGAAGCACGCAGCTGGTGGACTCAAGCCTCTCTCTCCTAGCACTCTACTTCGACAGCCTACGACCAAATCGACAATGCAGACCCAGACATATCGGCCTTATTCACTGTCCCCTACGACCTGGAGCTCGCCACCCCAAGTGTTTTAAGGCTGCCTCTGCGCTCGCATACAACGCATATCTCCGACATCAGGTCCCCTACGACCAATCCGGACGACGGCCTCCTTCTGTCCCCTACGACCGGAGCTTCACCGCCCACGAAGTTGAAGGCCACTACCAGCCTATGCACACACCATGTCGCGCATCTTCGACGCCAGAGGTCCTCGCGACCCAATCTCGATGACATACTACTCGGCCTTCTTTACTATCCCCTACTAGACGACATTCTATGGCCACCGCCATGGTCACGCACGCATCTATCAGAGCAAGCTGATTTTCGTTTCTCTACTACCTCTTCGATCCGTATTTCCCTTCAAGTTGACTGGTACGACTCATGGACTCATCTCTGGCATGTATGTTTCATTCTCTTCTCTATGCCATCATCGAATTTTTTTTTCTCCTTGACTGGTACGAGACGGACATTGGACTCACTCACTCTCATCACGGACTTATCTCTGGCACACATTTTAATTCCTCTCATTTCCTCCTCGATATCGTGACCTTCGATTTATTTTCTCCTTTTCTTGATATGAGACGAACAACGGGACTCATTTTCATTATGGACTCATCTTTGGCGTGTATGTTCATTCTCTACATCATCTTCTTTGATTTTTTCCTTGACTGGTACGAGACAATATCGGACTCATTCAGTTTCATCACGTACTTATCTCTCTGTGGTATAGATCTTTCATTCCTTCAATTTTTTTAATCTGCACGGAAGCCTTGTTCGATTTGTTTCCCCCTTTTCTCATACGACTCTCCGCGTGATGTATGTCTATTTCATTGACCTTGTTATATTATACTTTATTTTGCGCATGTATGAGTGTGAATACAAAGAGCTTTGAATATGATTTCTTCCGCCTGAACATTATCATTTCACCCGTTCTCTTACCCAGAGTCTGATACTTTTCGAGTTTCAGTCTACAAGTAGTATTCGGACTCAAAGGTAAGTCTGCTCTCCTTCTCTGAAGTGAGAGGTTTAATAGGGGGCAGTTTAGGCCAAAATGTCACGTTCAAAAAGATAGCATAGAAATACTGCGACGTCTGTCATGTCTCCCCACATCTCAAGACCGCTTCAAAATTTAGAGACGAGGAATTCGTCTATGAGAATTGTGCTCTCCAGACAGAACTCGATGTGGTCCATACGAAGCTGGACGACCTCACTCCTAGTACCTCCTTGCCAACGGAAGTTCTGGAGCAAATCTATCTCCTTATCACTCCCCCATCATGGAGGATGACACTCCCCACTACTAATACTACCAAGATATGATAGCCGTCAAGCCAAGTATGCAACCGGCGGCGTGACATAGTCCTTCAAGTTGCTTGCCTCACCTTGTGGACCTATGTTACCCCATCTCTGGGCTATTGGTGGACAAGAGAAATACCTAACTTGAAAGGAACTCCCCTGACGCTCGAAATAATTACTACGTGATGAAACCTGTTTGGATTTGCGCTCATCCAGTTTGCATTAATGGGACGCGTAGTCCACGCGCGCATACTAGTACTCATCGTCTGTGCCACAGGAGCGCTAGTGAAGTCTGTTTTTGGCTAGGCTTCGATCTGGAGCCCATTACGATCGAAGAATTCGGACGGGCTTCCAGTCAAAGATGGTTCGGTCATGTCGTCGCAGAATTGTTAAAAGTGTTGAGGAAAGAGGCAGAATGGGCCTCATGAGGTTGGGATCCTTGTTTAAGCATCCTAAAGGATACCGATGATTACATCGAGTCGGATGCATCGATGAATTTTGAATCTATCTCGAAGGCCTCTTTAGTTTTAACTAGCACAAGATGAAGGCGTGTAGTCAATGTATTCACTGATCAAATCACGCATCCATATCGTGTAGTCTGCTTTCTCCAAGGTTCGTTGGCCGCATCAGGAAATGTCCGTCAACACGAACCTGGGATGCATTATGCATATGAGCTACCCATCCCTCCATATCGGACCCTCGGTTAAAGGTGTTTCTCCGATGTGAGACGTACTAGTCCCAAATATTGACGGTGAATGGACAGATGCGAATAAGCACTAGTAGTGCTAAGTGCTACGCACTTAGAGAGAAAAGTCAAAGAAAAGTGGCCACTTACGTAGAGTAGGTAATTCGATTGGGACTCCGAAAGGAGGGACAATGAAGGCTATTTCAGCCAAATCTGGTCGTCAAAAGAATGACGGGTAAGCACAATCCACGCTCCTGCACACGGTTCGATGTTGGTTCGACGAGTGCAAAATTTCACTGGTGATATTTTAAAAAAAAAGAACACCCCGACGCCAGCAGGACTCGAACCTGCGCCCTCAAAGAGGAACAGATTTCTAATCTGTCGCCGTAACCACTTGGCTATAGCGCCTCGTGTGTCCTTGGATCGATGACGTATATGTAATGGAATGTGGACACTTGTACTGTGGCCGTGCGATAACCGGGTGCGGACGTGTTCGGTTACGTAGGATTGCTATACTTAAACTCGCCTTGCGCGAAACCATTACCAGACCGTCACTGTTCCTACTTGCTTGCAAGGCACCTTGCATGCATGATTCACATCTCTGAAGGACCCTAGGCGAAAATAACGCGTACAACGTCAATATTTATTACATCACTTGCTGCGTACTGCGCACACGAGTTACCCGAGTCACCACACTTAGATCTTGCACCCCTCTTCTCATTCCATCATACCAATTCGATCTACGATGAACGCCCTGGCGTCTTCTTCACATGTGTCTACTAGCGACAAAAATCCATCACGCCAGCAGAGCCCTGGACTTGGTGGAACTGCTTCACGCTTCTTCGTCTCCATGCGCAAGTCCATCAGTCATAGCCTTCTGGCATCCCCCAGAAAACGACATGCAGACAACCTAGTGAGCGAACATTCTCATTTTCTTTCAGACGATTCTCATTCTTCTCCCGTGCAGCGTGGTGGTGTTGGCATGTATTCTACGCCCGAAGAACGAAACCCTTATGTCCAGCCACGAATGCACGCGAGATACAGAGAATCCGCGGCTTCCCGTCCTACCATTGAGCAAATTGCAATGGGTCTCCATGTTTCCTGCACACCACATCTGCGCAATCCGTGTCACCACCGCCATTCTGCACCTTCATCACCCTCTCATATACGGTACCCCCCACGACTCATCCGCAATGCATCGTCCCACGCACAGCCTCCCACCACCCCCTTCCCGCTCTTCCCTCAAGAAAACAATTACTAGCACTACCTTAAACTGCCCCCCTCCGAGCTCCATTGCATTACTCGGCCCATCTCCCTCCACCTCTACGATCAACTCAGCAGGTCCAGCAACACCAGATGGCGCGCGGCCCGTGCTGTCCCTAAAGCATCGTATGTCGAAGTTGATACTCGGTTATCGCTCTGCGTCCTCACCGGTGGCACGGGTCACATCATTAGCGTCATCAGGAAGTGGAAGTGAAGGAACCCGCCCGACGACCCCAAGAAAATCAGTGCGATTTTCTACCAGCGTGCTTGAGTTGGATGATCAAAATCTCAAGCATTCATAATCAAAGACTCTTAGCCGCGCGGAAGTTCAGCTACCTATCTTATATCATTAAATCGCACTTTGTTTACCCAGCGCCGCATTATTCCAAGGGATGTAGATGACGGTCCACTCATCATTCACTATTTTATTCCACTTTCATTGTAGCACTGGAATTTTATTCGTTATACATCATGTCCGCCATGCAATTTAACCCTGCATTTTTAGCACGAAATATTGATTTCTCGGTCAAGTCCGCTTTCTCCGTCGTTTACAGGTTTCGTGGCTGTGCTACTGTCTTTCGGAGTCCAGTGACATCAGGTTGTTAACGTTCATCCCCCTTGCCTTTCGGACTCTTCTTCTACATCCTTTTTCTTTTCCCTTCCATCAAATAGACACACCATCCACATCAGCACTATAGAGGCGACAGGCGCACAGATAATTCTAATCAATGGCACCAGTCGAAACAGAGTACTATGACTTGGTGCGCAGTACTCCACGTCTCTTACAGCACACATTGACCACCAACGGCGTAGTTGGATGTCCCCGTGGACGTTAACGATACAGACTTAAAGAAGGCATACAGGAAGCAAGCAATGAAAGTGCGTATACTCCTCTCTGGTTTGGCTTTGGCAAGACGTTGCAGCTTACTCATCTGCCGTAGTACCACCCAGACAAAAACTCCTCTTTGGATGCGGAAGAGAAGTTCAAGGACATAAGGTACAGCTGTGGTTTACCCGTCTATGACATGGCAGCGGGCTGATGAGACATAGTAAAGCGTATCAGGTGCTATCAGATGCTGTACGCTCTTTCGTTCACTCTGATGATTTGAATCCAAACTGAGATACGATTAGAATTTGAGAGCGGTATATGACAAGAACGGGAAGTCTATGGTGCGCCAATCTCCTCCATAATACGAGAGTTGAAATTGAGATGTGACTTTACGTGGTTTAGGTGGACAAGGAGAGTACAGAACTAGACGATGCAGCGGGTTTCTTTGCAAACGTATTTGGTGGAGAGCGATTCAGAGATTATGTGCGTTCCTTTGTCTTTTACACTCGACAATTATTCCTTATGATTCGTCACGATCAACTGCATTATCGGCTAACCTTGGTGACACGCAGATCGGCGAAATATCTTTAATGAAGGAGATGACATCTGTGGCACAGACAGTAATGACCGATGAGGAACGTGCTGAGCTCGAGAAAGAGGGCATCGTTCCGCCACAAGCAGCAGTCTCGCACGAACCGCACGTTCCCGCACCTGGTCCATCGACACCCGGTCCCGCTGATAATGCTTCGAAGCGTCAGTCTGTTTTGGGGTCTCCGACCCCATCTAATGGCGGCAAGGAAGGCAAAGAGAAAGATAAGAAGCGCAGTAAGCTCACGCCAGAGCAGAAGAAGAAGCTTCAGGATCTTGACGATGAACGCAAACGCTCGATGGATGAACGAGTAAAGACGCTCACTACCAAGCTAATTGAGCGACTACGACCCTTTGTGGATGCGAAAGCACCTGGCGACAAGGACGACCCTGAGACAAAGGCATTCGAAGTCCGGATGAAACTCGAAGCAGACGATTTAAAACTGGAGAGCTTTGGGGTCGAGGTGTGTGTAGCTGGTGTGCATCAGTGGTTTGAACTCACTAAGTGGGGGATTGACAGCTGCTACATACAATTGGGACAGTGTACATGATGAAGGCAACGTCGTACTTCAAGTCGAAGAAGTTCCTAGGGATGTGAGTAGCGCTCTTATTGTCCCATTATCTACTGCTTATACGGCGCAGTGCAGGTTTCTGGTCGCGAATGAAGGAGAAGGGTTCAGTGGCAAAAGACGCGTGGGGCGTCATTGGAAGCGCGTTCGTTTTCATCTGTTCTCTTCTGTTCTCTTCTCACGTTCACGACATATGTAAAACAGATTTAGCGTGCAGTCTCTCATGTCCGAGATGGAACGCTTGCAAAAGAAGGGGGAGCTTGATGAGGAGGTGCTGCGGGCACTAGAAGAGGATGTTACAGGCAAGGTCCGTGTGCTTCGCAATACGGTTGATTTTTTGGCGAGATAAGTTGACACGCACTAGATCATGCTAGCGTCTTGGCGAGGCACGCGTTTCGAAGTCATTCAGGTTCTCCGGGAGGTGCGCAAGGGTTTCTTGTGGGCGCGCAGCAGTTGAACCATTCCTATTCAGGTTGTGGATAACGTGCTCAAAGATAAAGAGGCGTCCGATCAAGTTTTGTTTTACCGGGCGAAGGTGTGTCACTACGTCGCCCTTCGGATATCGTATCCGCATCTAAACATTGATGTGACGTCAATTTTACCTTTGTTTTTGTCAGGGATTGATGATTATGGGTCACATATTCAAAAGCACGGTCCCCGATGAGAGTGACGAGGTCCGACGTGAACTTGAGCGGTACGTTCGGCTCCCATGTTGATTCGCGGTTACTAAGGTTCACGTCGTCTTTCTATTTTACATTTCAGAATGGTCGCAGAAGCAGCTGAGGGCAAATCAAAGCATCACCATCTGCGCGGAAAAGCCCGAAGAGAAGGCAACACAACGCCTGAGATGCTGCCGAATGAAGGCGAGCATCCAGTGAGGGAGCCTGGGGGAGATTCCGAGACCCGTGCACCTTAGCGCTGAGACAGCCGGGATTTGGAGCGAAGTGAGGGCTTGGGCACGCGTCATCGTTACATATGCGATCGGATCTTAGGACTGCTTTTGATTTTTATGACTATTCTTTCGAACGGCTATCGAACGGGATCTGTGATGAATTTTGCTGTGATACTCTACATATAAGTACATACACGGTGTGGTAGTCACCTATCTCTGAACCTAAATCCACATTCAAACGTACACACTCTAATAAGCTCTCCGTTATGGATCGCATCAAAGGCTGGCCTCAAAGGCCTCTCGTACCTGTGATATAAACGTTGAACACGACGACACGACGATTGAGATTAACCGATAGGCAATACACATACCCGCTTGAAAAAAACGTTGTCATCCAGGACACGGAAGCCCGTACACGCCAAGGCCTTGGTGGTAATCATACATGCTTTGTGGGCTTCCGTGGTTCGCGCAGAATCAGCGAATGCTGGCGAATGATTTCCCCCATTGGGCCGTGTAGGGATGGCTTCAGTGTACGGTCAGATAAGTGTAAAGATAGTCGCACCACACAACATACCAAAAGCTGGATGTAGCGAGGGCAAGACTAAGTTACCATGAGCACAAAATTGGCAAGCGACTTCAGAGGGATGCACTTGCCGTATGAAACGTTGCCCTAGAGCGTAGTTTGTCAATGCGTATGTGGAATCGGGGAGGTTTAATAACCAAACGTACAAAATCTGTGGACGCCCCTGAGGGATATTGCCCGACATGCATGCCAGATTGTTCATTCATTGCTTGAGAGAAGGCACCCGCTATATAAGTGTTAATTATCCTGACTGATCAAAAACATCTGAGAAGATGACTTACCGAGGATGTTATTCTGCCGTAAATCATAATAGGGCGTGTTCTTCGTGAGCTTGAGACGGCAGGAAGTCGCCAACGCGGCACCCCTGTGGACCTTGTAAGATGCCGTCGACCGTACAAATGTGACATAGAGGCTGACTCAAAACAGGCGGACACTCTTGCTGTCAGTTTCGCTAACTGGTCTTGTGTCGGCGCTCGGACATACCACCTCATTTTGGCGTAGTCAGGGATCACTGTAAAAGGCTCGCTGGATTATTCATGTTTCAATACTGCTAGAAGTTGCTAGACTGTACCATTCGCAGCTCTCTCGCTGCCATTTATGACGCCATGCACTCTGTGGTCAGGTTTAATCTGCTGCCGTAATACGGAGACACTGGAGTATGCTAAGAACGCAGCATCAAGTGCGTTGGCGCCTTCCCATGGAGCATCTCCAGCATGAGCGCTGTTTGCGTCAGTTCATGTGATCATGTAAGAATCACAAGACCCACGATTGCCCAAAGAACTCGGCATCTATAGATTGCATCGCCAGTGAAGATACCACAAACGAAGACAGCTCGGGTCCAGGGGAAGGATGACACCTGAATTAGTCACGTATGCGTCAGTGATGTTCGGAATGTATTCAGCAGGGCACACGGACATTAAACAAGCATCCATCCCTTTGTAGGCTCCTCGCTCAAGCAGGATAATCTTTCCTCCGCCACCTTCTTCAGCTGAAAGAGAAATGAGTAACTCGTGTCGGCCGAATTTGGACGCATTACCTGGGGTTCCTAGAAGAACGACTGTGCCAGGAACGTTGTAGGTTTCCAGTGCGGATTTTATGGCTAATGCCACGCCTACCCCACTGATTGCAATGAGGTTGTGGCCACAGGCATGCCCAATCACGGGTAATGCGTCCATCTCCGAGTTAATTCCAATGGTTCTACCTCCCTTTCCGTGGGTGTATTCAGCCCTCCAAGCAGTCTTGAGACCGAGGTAATGCCTCGTCACGGAAAACCCGTGGTTTTCCATATAATCAGACAGGAGATTGTGTGCAAATCTATGAAAATTCCATCAGTGAAATGCGTGTAGGATACGTGGCCCTGCAGACATTTCTTCAAACATCAATTCTGGGTGGCCTGCGTCTCCCACAGTCAGCAAATATAGACGGGGCCATAACTACGGAGCTTACTGTGAATCTGGACACTTAGATATCGTAGGGAGGAATCGAGTGTGTCGACCATGGTTTCGATAGTGTGCCTGATTTCTGCACGTATAGAACCACCAGGAGAAGGCAGATCTGAATAAACGGGAGGAGCATCCCACTGGCATGCTGCAGTATTGAATTTGCTGCTTCCAAAGTCACAGCACGTATCGTAAAACACGCGGGAAGTCAGATCTGTCTATGGGGGCCAAAGGAGTAAGCTGCGCGCGGAAAATGGTGCCAAGAGAAAACATACAAGATCGACGTCCCTTTCTGAATCAGGCGCCTTTAGTGTCTGATCATATATCTGGGATGTGTTAGCTTGTTTGGAGGAACTCTTAGGTATGCGTCGAGGTTTGAACTTGAACAGGCGTCTTAGAGAAAGGCACCCGTTACGATGATTGGCATCAGAGGCGTCTAAGGACATCAGAGAGACAGCGATAAGTAGCGGCGAAGAGTGGGGGATCACTAAATGGGGTCCTTGGTAACATGACTGAGTTTATCAACTATTCGGCGCTTGACACCTGGTGCATATCGAACGCGGAATAGAGTGTGATCCGTACTCCGGTACCATCGGGGTTAGGTAAGTCTACGCGTACGGTTGCTCACGTTCATCTGTGATAGAAGATTGGATCAGGCGCTACTTCGTGTGTATCTACACATTCTCAAGAACCTGGTCGCGAGGTCAACTGAGGTCGTGCGAGATCCTGCAAAGAACTTTCCGTACTTTCACCTCCGCGGAAAAATGCACCTATTTTTCTCCAAATGTTATCTCCTTGCTGTGGTGTTGGCATGCTGTCTTGCCCGCTCAAGCCGAGGACAATCTTTCCATGGCGTGAGGAGAGATGACAGTGATCCATAGATTCACCTTCAGAGGTCGGAGTAGTGCCGCCGATAAGTAACAACATTTTTGTTTTCTTCCCGTTCATGCTGCGGATGCTGCTAGACAATCCTGGAAGAATGTCAAAACCGCCCAATTTGCTACCGCGTATCTGCACATCCCCGCAAAAAGTTGGGGGGAGCAGTACTACCATCTTTCCTGGTGGATGACAAAAGCGTGTCAGTACCGATTACAAATGTATGACACAGAAACGCATCGATGTCACTTTTTGATGTGTGACATAGAAGAGACAGATTGGGCGGATAAACGAGATTTTCCATGGTTGGTTGCCCAAGTGGAATCCGACGCAGACGGCCCTGTCATCGGACCTTCACACACACCAGTACTACCACCACCATCGGTTTCAACTCACCTCTTCGGGAAGTTACCTTCAGCGTGATGCGTTTACCGGGATGTACAGAGCTCTGTTTCAAGAAACAATGAAACATAACCTTATGGAGATGGAGTTTGAATTGTTACTCACCAAGTTAACGGCGATATCTCCATGACGGGTCGAGATGTCAACTATTGCCCGACGGCATTGTTCCGACGACCCTTTGGTCGCTAGAGTCAGAAAGATTGACCCGAACCGATTGCGAAAAACCGCATGTGGTGCTGCGGAGAGAAAGTCGACTGCTTTCCTTAGCCCTACTATGTCACTGTGCCTGGCTGCAAAGCCTTGTAGAACGGATGGCTCGTCTCCTGACACATCAGGGTCAATGATGTACGCTCCTGCATGGGCCAAACTTAAGACAAACGCAGGGAAAGAATACATAAGTGATGCTCACCGGATATCAAGTCATGATGTTTTTCTAGCCGAATGGTCTTCACTGTGGGCGCATTGGCAAAACCTACTAGGTGACCCGGCGATACCGCAGCAGAACCTGATGCGAGATTACTGTACGGCGGAGGGTCACCATCTGGAAAATGGGACGATGAGGATTCCTTTTCATCAGGAATGTGCATAGTGGTCTGTAGCTGCTGTGATTCCTTGCCCTGCAGTATCATTTTGACAGTAGTGCACTCAGTACTTGAAGTTATATGGTTCTAGGAAGAGGCCTATTACCAAAAGGGGCTGACACCGGGCACAATGAAACTGCGCACGAGCTGCGCCGCGGCGCGCCGCTGCTGCGTAGAACGAGAACTGTATTGCACCAATCAGTCACTTCGCGTGCTGCTGGAAGGAATTTCAAGTTTGAAGCCACATCTCACAATTACTGTACTATGCACTAATGTAGTGATGCTTCAGAGGGTCCTATCTTTAGTGATAAGTGCTGCGCAGCGGCGATGTTCTTCCAGGGCTCCTAAAATACTGAAAGCAACAAAAAGGGCCTGGCCGGGAATTGAACCCGGGACCTCCTCGAAATTGGACAATCGCCCTAACAAGGAATCATACTACTAGACCACCAGGCCGTGAAGATGGATCCGCTTTGATGCACTATTACCTCCGGCGTACTGGAACTGCAAGCTCTTTGCATTTCAAGAATTAGGCATTATGTCTGATCAGTCGTTCCCTCAATAAGCACCATAGTCAAGATTCAAGAATGTGATTGTGGACATTGATTCAGCGTTTGAATTTGAACGTTGAGTTACAGTACCACATAGTGATAAGTAATCTTTAGAATTCAATAGATGTAAACAGGACGGATCAGGCCCGCAGGTCCAGCGGCACTGCCGTAAATAGTCTTTCCTCTTCCAGTTCTTCCAGTGTCTACAGTTTATTACAATCCTGTAGTCTCACTGCAGGTGTGCAGTGGATTATCCAGGACGCTGGCGACGATAAGTATGGCGTCCGTAACGCAATATGCCCACACGGATCACCTTGGGCAGATCTTCCAAGGCCTGCGGAGCCCAGCCCACGATGCTCGATTGCAAGCTGCAACAGAGTTGCGTCGTTATGTGCGTTTATTGTTAATGCATGCGAGCCACCTCTCATGGTCCAACAGGTTGCAATGACTGTCGCAGAAATGCCGTCTGATGCAGTAGCAAAGCTTTGGGATGACGATATCAACAAACGTCTGTTTGACCTAATGCACAGCCAGAATAATGTAGAAAGATTGGGCGGACTTCTGGCCATAGGTGCGTCCAAACGTTATGGTGCCATGGCCGTATAACTCATGTCACTTAGATCACCTCCTTGAAAGTGAAGGAGAGGACACTATTGGTTCAAAGAAGTACCTCTTTCGGTTTTACAACTACGTTAAGCAGCTGCTGCCAAATCACGATGTCAACATCATGCTGGCCGCATCAAAGACTCTTGGCCAAATTGCTGCAATCGGTGGGGCCGACTTCGGAGAACGATTTATGGACTTAGAAGTTCCTGCCGCAGTCGAGCTGCTACAGGGTGATAAGCAGGAGTCCCCCCGCTATGCCGGAGTGCTCATCCTCAAGGAGCTCGCACGCAACAGTGCAATATACTTTCACTCCCACATCAGCCTCGTATTTGACAAGATACTCATACCTCTTCGGGATTCTCGAAACATTGTCAGGGAGGGAGCTGCAGAGCTTCTTGCTGCATGTCTTGAGATTGTTACGACACGTGAACGGCAGACACGCACAACTTACCTCATGAAGATTCTTCAGGACGCGCAACTAGGACTCAAAATGTCACAACCTGAGGTCATTCATGGGTCTCTTCTCACATACCGAGAACTGCTGTTGCATGGCGAGATGGCAAGTGATTTCAATACCGTCATTGTATTTGAATCATATTTGCCTTCAGTTTATGAGAGAATCGTTTTTGGATACTGCGGAACAAATTCTTCGCTTCAAATCACATCGAGACGGTCTTGTTCGCAAGATGGTTATCACCCTAATCCCGACTCTCGCTGCCTACGAAACACAGGTTTTCTCGGAACATCACCTGCACAAATCCATGGGACATCTACTAACACAGCTGGAAAAGCCAAACGAGAGGTCTTTTGGTATGCGTTCTCTTATCAGTCACAAGGTTGCATATTGATTTGTTGTTGTCAGCATTCATCGCCATTGGTCACACTGCTACTGCTGTAGGAAGTGACATGAAACCTTTCCTCGACTCCATCATGGCTCAAATTAAGTTTGGTCTACAAGCCAGGGGGTACGTCGTATACCGACTGTTGTATGCAGTCATCAAAATTCTTTGTACAGAAAGAAGAATGCTCCTTCTGAAGAACCTATTTTCCAATGCGTCGGAATGCTTGCTTCGGCTGTCGGTCCAAACCTCACGAAGCTTCTTCACGATCAACTTGATTTATTCTTTGCGTGCGGGCTGAGTGAGCCTCTTAGACAGGCGCTGATGGCCATTGCACGTAATATTCCTCCTTTGCTAAAGACTATTCAAGGTGCGTCAGTTGACCACGTCAAGGCGTCATTCTTATAAAAATAAACACATCGTCAGACCGTCTGCTGGATCTGCTCTCCCTGATCTTATGTGGACAGCCTTATAAAGCCATTGGAGCCCCACCTTCCCTTGTCCGTAGTGATGCCTCGGCGTATACGAGAGACTTGAGCTCATCTCAAGTGAGTTTAATAACACTTCTGTTGCTTGTTTTAAACATGACTCGCGAAGACTACTAGGAGCGGGAAGAGCCCTGAGCTCATCACACTCGCACTGTCCACGCTTGGCACATTCGACTTCAGCGGTAAGCTACCTACTACTATCTTATATTATGTACTCATCATGAGCAGGTCACATCTTGAACGAGTTTGTCCGCAATGCTGCTCTTCCTTATCTGGAAGACGATAATGCAGACGTCAGACGGGCTGGTGCTCTCACTTGTTGCAGGCTATTCGTTAGGGACCCAATTTGCTACCAAGCCAGCAGCCACGCGATTGAAATAATCAGTGATGTTCTCGACAAACTCCTCACAGTAGGCATTGCAGACCCAGGTAAGTTCATTTTATTTTCCTACAGGCCACCTGACGTAATCGATGTTACTTGAAGACCCTACCATACGGCAAACTGTTCTGTCTTCCCTTCATGAACGGTTTGATAAGCATCTGGCGCAAGCGGAGAATGTCAGGTCAATATTTATCGCCCTCAATGATGAGGTCTTCGAGAATCGCGTTACTGCTGTCACTTTGATTGGCCGTCTTGCGAAGCATAACCCTGCTTACGTCATGCCTTCCTTGCGCAAGGCCCTGATACAACTATTGACAGAGTTAGAATACTCAACTGTGATGTGCGTGCATCGATCTCCGTGTCCTAGAACAAATCATGATTGTTTTTACAGGCGAAATCGTGAAGACTGCACCCGCCTTCTCACTCTCCTAGTGGGCGCGACTCAGCGTCTCATCAAGCCATATGCACTCCCTATGCTCCGTGTCCTCCTGCAGAAGGCGAATGATAGCAACCCGGCTGTCGCTGCCAATGTTCTCATGTGTCTCGGGGAACTGGCTGCCGTTGGCGGGGAAGACGTAGCTCCTCATATCCCGGAGCTCATGCAGGTCATTATCTCCAGACTTTCCGATCCTGCTCATGTCAAGCGCGACGCTGCGCTCCATACTCTTGGCCAGTTGTGCTCTAGTACTGGGTATGTCATAACACCCCTAGTAGACTATCCTCAGTTGCTTCCCATCTTGGGACGCATTCTGAGGAGTGAGTCCTCCCCGCATGCACGCCGCGAGGTTGTAAGAGAAGTAGTCAAAGTTCTCGGTATCCTTGGAGCCCTGGATCCATACAGGCGGAAGGTTTGTCTAGGACGTCCCTCTTCGCTTCAAGCTACTGACATTTCCGTAGACAAGGCCGGATGAGGAAGCCATGAATGAAACGCCACTTCCTGCTGTCAATGCTGTCGCCATTTCTCAGACGGGATCATTGACAGGTAGCGACGACTACTACCAGACTGTCGTGATCACGTCTCTTCTGGCTGTCTTGAAGGATCAATCGCTTAGCAATCATCACCACACCGTCATCGAAGCTATCATGAACATTTTCAGGACGCAAGGGTTGAAATGTGTGGCGTTCCTACCGCAGGTACGTCGGTTCTTTGCTGCTACATGACCAAATGTTGTACTGACCCAAATGTTTCGAAAGATCATTCCTGCTTTTACCGCTGTGGCTCGCACCTCCACAGCGCGTCTGCAAGAATTTCATCTGCAGCAATTGGCTATCCTGGTCGGGATCATTAAGCAACACATACGCAATTATATGCCAGAAGTCTTTGGCCTCGTGACGGAGCTTTGGGAGAACGCCTCCCTACAGCTTCCGATAGTATCTTTGATTGAAGCGCTGGGGAAAGCTTTGGACGCCGAGTTCAAACCTTTTCTACCAACTATTCTGCCTCATCTTCTCAAAGTCTTCGAAGGAGACCTCGAGAAGAAAATGGCTACTCAAATCAAGATTTTCGATTCTTTCCTCACGTTCGGGGCAAATATTGAAGAGTACCTTCACCTCGTCATTCCCGTTATTGTCAAATCTGCTGAACGACCCGATGCTACCACTCTACTCCGCAAGAAAGCAATCCAGACTATAGCCCATTTATCCCTCCGTGTTAACTTCTCTGACCACGCTTCTCGCATTGTGCATCCCTTGATCCGTGTGTTAGAGGGAAACAACAACGAGCTTCGGCAGGCGGTGATGGACACCCTGTGCGCCCTAGTTGTCCAACTTGGATCCGACTTTGCTATATTCGTGCCCACCATCAACAAGGTGCATATGATTGAGTTTTTTCTTCCTTTTTGGATTATTGACAGCAAGATAGTGCCTGCTCCGGAATCGTATACCTCATCCCCGTTACGAGAATTTGATATCGAAGCTCCTGAATGGGGAACGCCTACCGCAAGAGCCGGGTACTCATGACTTGCTGTGCGTCTCTTTTTGGCTACTTAACGACGTCAGCTCTTGATGTTCCTTCAGCGAATCCAAGGCTGCAGAAATTTCCGTACCTGCGGAAGCTGCTAAATTGACCGTAAACCAACAGCATTTGAAGCAAGCATGGGACGTGTCCTCCGTGAGCACAAGGGAGGATTGGACAGAATGGATGCACCGCCTTTCTGTGGAGTTGATGAAGGAGTCCCCGTCACACGCACTTCGGGCTTGCATGAGTCTTGTCGATATTCACCCTCCTTTGGCGAAAGAATT